TGCATAAGTGGGTTTTGGGTTGCAGTTTGGGCACTCGGTCTCTAAAAGGTTCGCCATCACTGCTATAGACTCTGGACCAAACTAACACCATGTTTAACCACTGCATGAATTTTTACTATAAAAAGTACCAACAGGCACAGACTGTTTTTTTTGGGAATGCAGGCTGAGGGCATGCCAGGTGTAGGCACTGAGGAATTTCCAGGAATGGCATTTCACTGATAAGCTGGTTTCTCATCCATCTTAATTTTGAGCACGACTCTGAAAGTATCACCAGGCAGCCTCTTGCCATGGCAGAATGCATTATACCTATGCAGTTAAAATATTTATCGCTATATACAGCTTGCGATGATCACCACGCTGGCTTTCATCTCCTATTTCTTGAAATCTATCAGGACCAATGTGCCTGGAGGGCATTTACATTTGGGCATCAAGTAACCCTCCCCCCTCCATGTTCAACATTCAATAAGGGAATAGCAGTGAAGTCATCCAATACCTGGGAAGGGCCTGACACTTGGAAAGGCCACCCTGCCCTACTAAACTGGATGCTTAAGTCCCCATGTAACTCTCCCTACCCAATTCGGTCACCTCCCTCCCTGGTGGAAGGGGCAAATCCTTTTCCAACTCTGTGAGGGCAGGAGAACCACAAAGAAAGCTACAGAAAACCTTCTCATTTTTTTATTTCAAAACAGTTTTTCAGTTGCATTTCACAAACAGGATTATTTAAAAAAGGGGGAAAGTGAAAAAAACCTGCTTTTTGTTTAAGGGAACACAGCTAATAATAGGATGAGCAAACCCTCAATACTGCCGAAGACATGAGCATGTTTTTCACGAAAGAGGGAGATGCCGCTTGCTGGAATGTTTGTCCCCCCCCCCCCACATCGCAAAACAAAACCCAGAAAATGGGAGACCCACAGGAAGTGGCTGTTTTTTTCAGGCGGGCTAGTGACCTGTTGTGGCCTAGGGAGGGAGAGGCCCCCGCATAGGTCCCCGTGGAGGCACCATGGGCCGTTGGGTAGGACGAGGCGGCAGAGGGATGCGCTGGTAGCTGTAGGGAGGGGGCCGAGGGGGGCCATTGTATCCATGGGGTGGCATCAATGGAGGCGGCCCACGCATCCCGTGAGGTGGCATGGGACCAGGATGACCTGGGGAAATAAAACACACGGGCATTAGACAGCACCCAGAAGATGTCCAAGACCGCATCAAGCTGTGAAGATAAGTTACTTCAGGCACAAAGGAATCAGAACTACTGGACTGTCGGAGGGGGGGGGGGTATTTGATAAAAATTGCTTGCGTTCCCCTTCTTTGGCTTGAAGCCATTTCTAGGAAAGTCAATACCCCTCACACTCCAATGGGCGTTTTGGCACTAAACCACAAGAGGTGAGAAGAGAATACCCCAAACCCTTCCACTTACCCATTGGCGATCCAAAGTGAGGTCCCCTGGGTGGCATGCCCATGGGTGGTGGCCCAGGATGGGGCATGCCTGGGGGTGGGCGTGGAGGTGGCTGCCCCCCTGCGCCTGGGGGTCCAGGGTGATGTGGGCCCATCCCGGGCATTCCATGATGGACTTGCATTTGCGGCATGCCTGGGAAGGTAAACAAAAGGCAGGGATTTCTCATGCACGCATTCACACAGTTCCAAAGACACAGACTGTGTCAGGAAGACCTCACGCCCACATCATACTGCTGGTTTACAGGGGCCACAGCTGGATCCCACTCTTCCCAAACTCTCCCGCAGCCCCCAGCATTGAGATTTCTCAGTGACAAAGGCAGAGGCCGGTCTTCTGCCGAGAAAGTAGTTGTCCAAACCACAGAACATACCTGGATGCATCCCACCAGGAGGGAAAGGATGTGGGTGGGGAGGATGCGCCCCCCCGGGGGCTCCTGTGGAGGGAGGTCCTGGGGCACCTGCCCCTGGTGGCATGGGTGGAGGTGGCATGGCTGGAGGCAGTCCTGGGGGCAAAGCTCCCGGAGGGGGTACTGGTGGAGGAAACGATCCAGGTGGGGGGATGCCTACAATGGAAAATCACAGAACACTCTTGAATTATTGGGGAAAGCACCCAACGACTCGCTGGTTGCTGAGTCGCTCGTCAATGTTTTCAGACATTAAGAACTCAAGCGGTGAGAAAAAAAACAATCGTCAGAAGGCAAAAAGGAACCAGAACTAAGGAGCTACCAGCCCCAGCGCTGGCGTACCTGGAGGAGTAACCCCGGGTCCCAAGGTGGTAACCACTGGCGTGGGCACCGACGGTGGAGGCGGAGCGTCTGCAAAGAGTTGGTGCGGCCGGTCGGCCTGGGAGAGGGGGTTCTGTGCCGCGAGGAGGCGCTCAGCGGCGGAGCCGTGCCTCTCCCCCTTGGAATCCTTCTTGAAGGCGTAGGAGACGGTGATGGGGCGGTTGCAGAGGTACTGTCCGTTCATCGCCTCAATGGCGGCATCGGAGGCGTCGAAGCTGGCAAAATTGATGAAGGCGTAACCCTTGGAGTTGCCCGTGTCGGGGTCACGCATGATCTTCGGGGTCTGCAGGATGACCCCGAAGGCGCTAAATGTGTCGTACAGCAGCTTCTCGTCAATCTCCGGATCCAGGTTGCCGATGAAGATGTTGGCACCCACGTCCAGGTTCTTGTTGTGGGCCGAGGCCTTGTTGACCCGGATGGGCTTCCCGTAGAGTTTGATCATGTTCATGATCTTGATCGCGTAGTCGGCGTCCTCTTCGCTGAGGAACTCCACGAACCCGTAGCCTGAAAGGACACCACCGGGAGAAGGGCTTGCAGCCGGCCGTGGCCCTCCACTGTGCCTCGGTTCCCCCACCATCACCCCACCCCAGTGGCGGCTGGCCTCCTGGCCAAGCCAGCTCCCCACTCCGGGCCCGGCCGGGGCGCCCCGAGGAAGCGGCGATTTTATTTATTTATTTGTTTTGATTTATATCCCGCCCTTCTCCCAACGGGACTCAGGGCGGCTCACAACATATTTAAAAACATAGACATGTTTACAACCCCCACCAGATAAAACCAAATTAAACCAATAATTGGGGGGAAGAGCCGGCCGCGGCCCCGCTCACCTTGGTGCTGGCCCGTGACGCGGTCTTTGGGCATGTGGGTGTTGACCACGGGGCCCGCCTGGAGGAAGAGCTCCCACAGGAGCGGCTCGCTGACCTTCTCGTCCAGGCCGCCCACGTAGACGGTGGCATCTGAGGGGAGAGAAGCGGGGGGGGGGACGGGGGTCAGGCGGCGGCAGCGGGGCTCCGGGCGGCCTCCAGACCCCTTCCGGACCGGCCGAACGCAGAGGGAGGAGGGCGGCTGGAATCCAGCCCGCCGGGAGGCACCTCCTGCGGATGGAGGCGCCCCTCCTCGCCCGGGCCTGAGCAGCGGCCGCCCCGCGCCACCCCGAGCCCGGCGCCGTTACCTTGGTTCCGCTCCGAGATGGGGCCCGCCGCCATCTTGACCCAGGCGCTCCCCGGTTTTCTCTCGCACTTCCGATCCTAGCCGGAAATTACGTCAGGCGCGGCCATTATGCTCCCGGGCGGACGCTAGGGAGGCCTCGCCGTTTAAAGGCACTCGGCTTTAAGGGCTACCCGGGCAGCTCCCGCGCCTAATCCTCTCCTCGCGGAAGTCGGTCTTCCGATTTAAAAAAAAATAAATCACGTGAAGTGCCCGGACACACAACGACGCAATTGCGTACGTGCATCATTTTGACAGCATAAAACCAGAACTTCCGGGGTCCGCCGGTCACGCTACTTCCGCCCAGAAGCGACAGACGGCGTCTGGGCCAATCAGCGCGAATCTCTTCCAAACTCCTCTTCCTTCTCCCTTTCCCGCTTTTTTCTCTCGCCACGCAGGCGCAGTAGCGGCTCACGCGCGCAGCTTTTCGTTGTCCGTTCGTTCGGGCGCCATTTTTCCCGTTGCCTTCCAAAAGGAGGCAGAGGGAGAGAGGAAACCTGAGCGGCCCGACGCCTCGGAAACCGAGGCAGCCATTGGCGCCTCAGGCAGGCCGTGCTTGGGCCCGCGAGGCGGTTGAAGCCCGGTAAAGGCAGGACTCTGCCAGGGGCCTCCTCGGGGTCGCCAGGCAGGGAAGAAAGTGCAAAGGAATTGCTTGGATAGCGTAGGAGGTGCTTCTGAGCATAGGCAGAGCGCGGCTGGGGTCACAGCAGCAAGCGGGCGCCTCCTCCCCGCAGGGGGAGCGGCCTGGCTGAGCGAAGGGGAGGAAGACCTGTGGGCCCCTTCCCCAGAGGGAACGGGGTCGAGCCTTGCATCGAAATCCTCTGGCAAACGTGTCCGGGAGAGGCAGGTTGCAGAGAGTTTTCTTTAGACCCCAAATGCTCCTGTGGGAGGCCTTTATTTATTTATTTATTTATTTATTATTTAAATTTATATACCGCCCTATCTCCCTTACGGGACTCAGGGTGGTGAACAAGCAATAATAAAAATCACAATAAATATTGAATAAAAAGCCTGCTCTAAAATACCCCATATTAAAACCCCTAGCAAAGCCCAATCAAAACTACGCATGGAATAGATGGGTTTTCAAGGCTCGGCGGAAGATAGACAGTAACCCTTTACAATTTTTTTTCCCAGCAATCACACTTACGTGTTTTGTACACTGCCAGTCTGGCCAGGGAAAAGCCACTGGCAGAGAAGGGATGAAGGATCTGCAGTTGCTTCAAAACCTGGCCAAGAAAGGCGACCTCAGGCAGCAGATCGTGATTTAGCCCAAGGTGAGTGATACAAGCTCTGCCCTTTCTTTTCTTTTGGGGCTAGGTGCAAAGAAAGAGTAAATAGCAGAAGGTGTAAACAGCACACATGCAAGCAAAGGAAGAGTATGAAATAATGGCATGAATCCTGTAATACTCTGGATTGTGGTTTGACACATGTGGAGTAAAATTTGCATAAAGGTCTGTTGTGGTTGTGGCAAGCTACTCATGTCCTTGTAACATTGTGACAAAGACAGAAAAACAATCCCCGTTTCATCAAACGCACAAATGTCCTCCGGACCACAGTTTTGGTGTATGCTGTTTACAGAAGTTTTTATTTTATTTAAAAAGCCATTAGTTTAAAATTGGCAATTTCCTGATGGTTGTTGTTAAGGCTTCTGAACCAAAGCTTGTGAAATAGTATATAATTGAATTTACAGCAAAGTTTTGTCTTTATAGAGATAGGGAAGGGTTTTTTTTCTTTCTCTGTCTATACACACCCACAAACTTGCATATAGAGTATATATATATATATACACACACATAAAGCCGATAGTAGACATTGAGTGAATAAACAGTAAACTTGATATATGAAGATGGAAGCTAAAAGGATTGTGTTTTTGTACACCAGTTTATCAGGCATGTTGTGTCTGTGGCTCCAGGTTTGATTATTTTTGTCTACTGAATGTATTATCAGCTTTTGATGTTATTTAACAATTATTAATACATTTACTGTACAAGTTACCTCTTAAGGCAATAAGAAGAAAAAGTTCCTATTGATTTTTTTTTCTGTGTTCCTGGGCTGTAAATATATAGCATGCCATTGTCTCTGCAGCATAAGAACATTAGTTCATTTGGAAGGATGTTCATTTTAGAAAAAAATATGCATGGGAATATATAAAGTATAGTGCCTCATTTAAGAAGTTTCTAAAACCCAGCTTGCTGCAGGTGGTTTCATATGAAAGGAGAAGACATAGCTCAGATTTGCCATGAATATTCAGGAAGCCCATCCATTACCAATGGGAGGGCAAAAATGAACGTTGTGTTTTTAATGAGCTGTTGTGCCGCCTTACGCATTTTCCAGAGCTATGCTATAGCTTCCTCTTGCTTGCAAATAGGTTAGCCGCTTTTGAAGAAGATCCAGTTCTTCGCTGAGTTTAACAATGTTGGAAGCAAAGAGGCCAACCTGAAGGGTGACATACATTGATATTAAAAACTCAAGTTACAAAATAGTTGCTCCTAACATATATGCCATTTTTAATCATCTTTTACATTTATACTCCATGTGTGTGTTCGACAATACAGGACACAAATTCCTCACCAGGAGGAGGTAACACGAAGGATTTATAGAAATACGCTTTTAATCCAAATACTGCAATCAGACAGTTAAAATTTCTGCAGTTTGAAATTTCATAAGACAGAAAATATATTTTAAAATATTTTTCACAGTTGAGATGCTGCTAGGCCTGTCCTTGACATCTACAAAAATCCCCCTTTCGCAACCAAAGGAAAAGATGATAGTATTTCCTTTCCTACCAACATTTTTTGGGAGGGGCAACTGTTACCCATAGAGCAATTCTTTGGGGAATCTGCTTAAGAAAAGTCTTGTCATCGTGAGCCAGGAAGCAGGATGAGGCAAGAGCAATGGTTTGCCCACAAACTCTGGAGCTTCAGTGTTTCAAATGGAATGGGAACTTTTACCATATCTCCAGTTCACCAGAATCAGAAGAGCATGCAGCGTATAACCTTTAATAAATAATTTTCATATACATCAGGGCTGAACCAGCAATAAATTGGCTCATCTGCTGAACCAGAGGACAGAAGGAGACATACATGTCTGGAACAGATTGTGGGTAGCACCAAGACATTGTGTGGAAGTACAAAAATAGAACTAAATCACAAATAATTCCTGCAGCACACATCTGTTGTTCTTTAACATTGTGCAAGATCCTTGAGGCCTTAGTGCATGTTTAGTTTTTAATTGCTTTGGGCATACAATTGAATGGGCTAAAAGGATTTCGGAACAATGTGTAAATTAGTAGCACTGGCCACTTGAAAAATAATTTTCATTACTGTGGAATGTTTGGAACTGAGGCAGTAAAGATGAGATGTTCAACAGGCTATGATAGACCATCAATAATACACAGTTCAAAAGCTATATTTGGCAATTGATTATTTCAGCTGAGTCTTTTTTTTCTGTTGGATTTTTTTGTACCTGAACTTCTGGATTCCCCCGAAGATAACACCTTTTCCATAAACGTATTGAAGTCCCTGTAAGTGATGGGAGAAGCAGCAGTCCATTATGATAAATGAAGTTGCCATTGGATTTGGCCTTCCAAGACCTTTCTTGTTCTCTAGAAGTCTCCAGTGCCTGAACACGATGAGAACTCTTTTTGGAGAGGGTCCCATTTTTCCAAGGGAAAATGTGGGTTTGCAAACTGAGAGAGCCTTTTGAAAAAATGTACAAGGTCCATTTTTCTGAAGAAGTGTTTTCCACCTAGAGGAAAAGAATGTAGAAAACATAGTTGGCTTTGAATCTAGGAAGCCAGAGGTTAAAAAAATAACAAACCTTATGTTTATTAATACACACCGTGTCACTATTTGTGAATAGGAGTTTCTTGTTTAAAGTGCCTCCATTGCTGAAGTTGTTCTCATTGTACCAGGGGTTCCTGAACTGTGCTCTCTGCCAGGGGTTGAATCTGAGTGGCCAGTTCCAAATTGTAGACAAATTTGTGTGGCCTACGTTCTTCCCAGGATAGCCTCCTTTTTGCAGGATTTCTAGACGGAGATTTTCTTGCCAGCCATTCATAGGAGTGTAAATTTGATTGAGAAAACGATTCTGGATACAAAGAAAGAGAAGCTAATGATTTCCAATATATGTTTCTCTCCCCTGTTTTCATAGATTTTAATATTCAAGGAATTAGGACAACAATCTTGACTCCCGTTATTTTTCACTACCACCAGTCTTAGCTCACCTGATTCTTTCGACTTCGTTCCCACTGGCAGTTGAATAGGAAAGTGCTAGAAAATGGGATGAAGCAGCTATCATATACGGCCATCAGGTAGGCCTCCGTAAACTCAAAGGATTGTGGGAACTGCTGCAGCAGTTGCCATACAGAATCCAGGAACAGAAAAAACACTGGTGACTGTAAAAAAAAAAAAGGATTAGAACAGATTAAACAATGAAGTGATTCTGCCCTCCTCCTCCTCCTCTAATCCTTATCCCTTTTTTTTGTATGTAACATTTTTTCTGAAAAGAGGATGAATTTTAAAGTAAAATGAATGCTTAATAATGGATCCTAATGCCATGTTTTTAAAAAAGTAGAAAGTGGTTCAGGCTGCCTCTTCTTCCATTCCTTGGATTCCTTGCGAATCCATTTCATTTATTTTTATTAGATTTTTATCCTGGTTTTTTTGATTGATTGGTCCACTGAAGGCTGCAAACATACCTGATATTCCTGCCTCCTATTTTTCCTACACCACCAGTCCTGTGAGGTGAGTAAGGCTGAGAGAGAGCAACTGCCTGAAGTCACGCAGCTGGCTCTCATGCCTAAGGGAGGCCTAGAACCCACAGTTGCCCGGTTTCTAGGCCAGCACCTTAACTACTACACCAAAACGGCTCACATTTTATTTTATACGTACACATTTTATTTCAAATAGCTAAAGGCACAGTTTCATCCTGTCTCACAAAACAGGAAACCCACCTCATCCTGGTCGTTTTTCTGGAGTACATTGAGACGCTGCAGGAAAGGATGGCCTGCTGCTACCCATTCTTTCTGGATCAGGCTCTGGAATCCAGGTATTGTCCTCATATGTGGATCTGAAAGAACTTGCACTAGGGAAGCCAGCAGACAATTCAAATCTCTGTCATCTGATTCTGGGAGGAAATGGAGCAGATAAAAGACTTTGTGTGCTATGATATTTTTGCATAATTATTAATAATGCAGAGAAGTGGATTTTACTTACTAGGAATAGCAAGGAAGACAAAAGTTATAATATTCACGAAGATGTAATAGGAAACTTACCATAGATCCTGTTTAAAAGCTCATGGCTAAACATAATATAGTGAAATCTGAAGGTACTTCCATGTGGGATTTTGGCACTGCTTCCAAATTAGTATCATGACCTTGAGAAAGGGTTAGTTTCCTGTCAACAAGATTTCCCATTAAAGTCTTGGTTTTAATCTCCTTCCACTGGGCTTTGTAGTGACTTTGTAGCTAGTGACCTGTTTTGTTTTTGTTTTTAACTTTACTATAGGGCTGGGGGGAGTATTGGTCAGCTTATCTGAATAATTTTCCTTCTAGCTTCACTTTGACCCTGGTCATCCTATTTGTAAGAGGACTCAAACGAGGATGGGAAGTGTGTTTTCTCAAAAGTAGGCAGTTCTGTTTACCAGTATTGCAACACTGTACTGAGAAAAGAAACCACTCCCACAAAGTTACGTTGTGAATAGAGGAGCAGATGCTGCATAACAGATTGTAGATAACAAAGAGTGATAAATTCATTGAACTCAGGAAACTCTATTGCAGCTTTTACAGAAGACAAAGAATTACTCCGGTCCTTGGAGACTTCTGTCTAGCTCCCATATTGACACATGCCTGATATAAACACCACTAACAAAAATCTGAAACAGCATGGTTTTCTTGATTATCTATCTTCAAGGAGTGACTCTCTAAATCGTGGTATGGTTTGTGAAGTTACGGTTCAGCATATTGCGTGAACCCATATATTACAGTTTGTAAACAATGGTCAAACAATTTCCAAGCAATTATTTGAAAATGGAATTAAAGACCAAGGAACTTACTTTACCTTGCAGTATAACGGATCGGCTTCTCTCTGTCAGCAGAAGAGTCACCTCACTGGCTTTCTTCAAGCATAATCTAGACAAGGAAGGCAGCACTTCTCAAGACGTTGGAAGCAAAAAGTACAAGCCTCACGTAGCCTTTCCTATTTTTCTAATCGTCCTTCTGCCTTTCTGAAGAATACGCTTTGTGTGGCAATTTTCTATGTACTGAATAATCATATTTAATATAAATCATTTGAAAAAATTTTATGTCTGTATGCTAACGTTAGTCTTTAAAAAACGAAGTAAAAATGGCAGCACTGTGAATTGAACAGTAGGTTCTTCCCTGCAGCCTCTTCATAGCACATCTTTGGCTAATGTGAAATTATCTCTCTCAACTAAAATCAGCCTCTAAAACACAAAATGAATTAATTAGGAGGATTCATCTTGCAAGATCTAGTTCTCAAATTCATAAGGAAGCTGGAAGTCATTTTGTAAACAATTTACATTTTCAAAAGAGACAGGCCTCCTTATTTCATTGAAAGAAAGCATGAAACAGCCAGAGCTTTCTTTCCCACCATATTTTCTGTATATATGGGCTTCGTCTTTGAAAATAGAATACTTACTTGAATTAACCTGTTTCTTAATTTTACTAATCAGTGATTGAGAATTAATCACAGGAGAACGGAGCCTGAGATCTCTTACCTTACGTGATCCAGCCACCGTGTATTTTCCAGACTTGAGAGCCATTTCTCATCAGACGGTGCAAGAGACGTATCTAGGAGAAGCAAGAAGTATCACCGAAGTTAAATCTGACACCAATTTTTTGGGTGAAAAGTGGGGGTGTTTTACATTCTTTTATAATACAAGTAAGGCTCATTAAAAGCCTCGCTTGAAGGCCTGAGTGAAGAGCCAGATCCTCATGGCTTTTCTAGATAGCAGAATGGGGCATTCGGTTCTTGGGGGTGACACCGCCCTAGAGAAGATACCCTTCTGGGTTTCTTTAATTGAAGGGACCTGGAGCACTTCGGCCCTGTAGGGTCAAATCAACTGGGCAGATGTTACGGGAGATTCCTCAAGTAACCAGTCCCTATGCCCTATTATTTTTGTAGGTTCACAGTACTCCACATAGATTTTAAAATCTGTCAACATGCTTGTCAACTGACATTTTGTAGGAAATTCTCACAAATTAGGTGAGAAATGAAGCTAAGACTAGCTTTCTTAAGGCCATGCGTTGTATTTGGACCAATGATTTCCTGACCTTTTAACTCAACATATCACCTCTTATCCACATAGGTATTTCTGGATTTCCTAGCGGTTGAATTGAATTTCTGACTTCATTTAAGCGTGTTTACGTTTAAATTAATGTAGCCGAGTATGGGAATTTCGTCTCTGGCATTAGGCCTGTTTTTGATATCCAAACCTACTTGGTTGCTCCATGCCATTTTCTTGCCTGACAAAATTGCTTAATGGTCTGATGCTGGGAGAGCACTTGTCATCTTGCATCTCTCAGTCACTTATACAGGCATTCCTACATTCTGCTCTGTCCTTGCTAGTTGTCTTCCGATTCTGCTTACCAGTCATCCAGAGGCTCAGGTTCCACAGCTTGGAGTAAGACTGGTGGATCTCGGGAAGGCTGGGAAGATCAGCCGTTGCTTCTACAATGACACACTGCGAGTGCCCAGCAAACAGTAGTGTTTCTATTGCCCTTCAGAGAGAAATCGGGAGGGTGAAGGTAATACTCCACAAAATGAGACTTTAAAAAAAAAAAAAAAAGTGGTCTAAGGTACTGCCCAATTTTGACACTGCCAAAATTTAACAGATTTTTGAGCTTTGGCTGTGTAAAAATTGAAACTCTGGTAAAGCTGCCGTGACTATATCGCTCTGGATCCTTGTGTGTCTGCATTTCACATATGGATCCCATGTAAAAGATGGAATGGAATTCAGTTCCATATTGAATTACAAGCCTTGTTGTTTTTTGTCAAGACCTACCCAAGGTTAACCACGTGATACATACATTGGGCTGTAGAAGTAATAATTTCTCCATGTTTTTGCTGATGTCCCCGTTTTCCACCTCCCCTCAAGCTGTCCCACAATCTTTGGTGATCCACCCTTTGGCATAATTCATCCCACCATTCCCAGTCACCCCTGCCTTTCCCCCAAGTGGTTTCTCAAGAGCAGAAAATTCCACGTCATACTGTTAGCTGTGAGTTTCTCTCTTTGGCATATACCTTATATCTTCCTTCTCTGGATCTGAGTTAGTGTGGAAGTTAGCTGCTCGAAGAAGATCACTGCCTCTTGGGTGATGCCAGCACAGCCTCTGGTCATAATAGAGGAGGGAAAAAACTTGAGTTCTAAGCAAGAGTTTTCTGATCTTCAAATTCAGACTTCTCTCTTTTTGCTCTAAATAGTTTCGCATTATTTAGGCAGGTATTCTAACATGCAAACATTTCCTCTTTCATGCTCGCGGAGTGGATTTGCATATGATGCTAAATACAGGTTAACAAAGCACAAGTCATATTTTCATAGAACATGCTATGCTCTTAGAAATAAACTCTATTGTGGTTTAATATGTTAGCCCGATTCACACAATATACTAATATCGTAGGTGAGTTTCCTCATTATACTGAATCACTAGTTACCTGACTCCATTTTAACCTAGCTTTTCAGGTTGTGGGAATTTGGAAGCACGCTTTGTTGTGGGGGATAAAGGCCCCCTCCCACGGCTCCTCTGCTCGCAGCTTAACAGAAAGGCTCCCTCATTTGCCCTCTTGTTGTTGTGCACGGGTAGCACAGCACACTTGTAATCACAGCCTTATACTCAACTGGTATTCGCCTTTCGTTGAAATGTACAAAGGCTCTTTTCAGCTCATTGTCCAGAAATCGACTGGGGACCCACAAGTATTTGGGAAGGCTGTTAAAAGGAAACAAATACATTTGAAATCAAACCTTAAAAAGTACATCTCTGCAAGCTGGTCCCTTTTAGTTATCCCCAGCTAGGATAGGCAGGGTAGGGCTTAGTTTAACGTGTGTGAAAGGAACCCGGTTGCCAGATAACAGATTTTTAATGTATATGTTCAGAAAGGACAGATCAAGTATTCACCGCCATACCCTTCACTTAGTTAATTCCATGCCTGATTCTTGGTGCAGCGTGTCAGCCTCATATATAAGTTCATTAGAACCTGACTGCATACTTTTAAAATAACTGGGCTTTAAGAAGATGCTACTAAAAAAAGAGACAAATACTTTAACTAGCTACACAGCACTAATGCTAACTAGTTTTTTAACCATTGCTGCAAGAGCTTCCAGATCTAGGCTCCTTGGCTTAAGGCTTAAGCGACAGAAGGACTCGGTTCCAACTCCTCTTTCCCATTCGTCCTGGCTTCACATCTTTCCACTGGTTATTTCTCCATCACCATCATCTGCCCTCAATGCAACATTTGCTGCTAGTGGGAAAGCGCCTCCCATTCTCCTGAAAAGCAACTTGATCTTTACCTGGTAGACATATCGAAGCGCTCATTGACTGGGCTGACTCGCCAGCTAGCGGCCCCGAGCCGCTTCAGCTCCTTCTCCCAGTCACAGAGAGTCTCAAAAAGCACTACTGAGAATTCTTCCTGTGGCTGTGTGTCCTGCCTGCCCAGGCAGCTGTTCCCTACAACACAAGAGGTCAGTGTGTTGAGATGCGTATTTCAATCAAATCTCCTTGTTTCTTTGATGTTGCAGGGGCTTCATCGCTGGAGATTTTCAAGAAAAGGTTGGATAACCACCTCTCTGAGATGGCGTAAAGACTCCTGACTTGGGCAGGGCATTGGACTTGAAGACCTCCAAGGTCTCTTTCTAAACACAGGACTCGGGGTTTCTTTGTCTACTTACCCAGATTCTTCAGAGCTAAGTATTCATAGCAGGTATCCCTGCCACTGTTCTCCTGAGCTTGCACAATAGCCATTGTCACCTGGGAAGCAAAGTTATGGAAGAGTTAGCTGGCCCAAGGTCATCTAGCTGGCTTCCTGTCTAAGGCGGGACTAGAAACTTCCATTGTGCCACTCATCTGTGGCATCCAGGCCGAGGGTAAAAAAAAGTAATCTGTTTTTTTAAATAGAAGGCTTCTCTGCCTTTAAGAAAAAGTTAATAAAGTACGCCAATGAGTGAAGCCAACGATTCTGGTATCTAAAATATTATTTACCACGATGAGAAGAATCAGTGTATGCCATCTTGCATTTTCCAGTGCCAGAATTAGGAAGGAGGAAAGAATCGCATATTCTCTTAATTGTAGCAAAGGCAGGTCACAGAAATATTTGATTTCTGAATGCAGAGTGAGAATATCTTTTGGCAGAAGGTGTGTTTAGACTCACTGTTTACTAGATGCCTTTCTGCTGAATTCACCTCCATAACGTACCTGGAAGGCCTGAGATTCTAAGCCATTTTCATGGAACTGGAACCTTAGAACCCGGAAATCTCGGCAGTAGATGATCAGTTCCTCAGGAATGAACTTCAGTGTAGATGTGCTTGTCAGCACCTTCGCTTTTGTGAAACTGTTCACTGGGGGTGAGAACAGAAATCATGTTATTAGGAGGAGGAAGGCTGTTGTGAGGGAAAGACTGTTCATTAGAATGACCAGCAGTAGCATCAGTTTACAGAGCAATAGGACAACACTTTTGTGCCTTGGGCAGTTTACAAGTCTGAAACTGGACCAATCCCTCCCAACCTTTAGATTCTGATTCTGTCTCTGTTCCTCAGGTGAACAAAAGAAAAATAAGATTCCATGGAAAATGTTACACACTTGAAGAGCTATTTCAAGCTGAACAATGTTTCCATGAATACATCTCTGTGAAATGGAAAAGAAGCATAGATTGAATTCTTTCATCCTGAGCAAAATTCTACAAGAACAAAATAGTTGGCTATTATAAGCCCAAAGATTATATAGGCATTTTTCCTCTAAACCTACCAGCCACCAGTTTTCCAATGCATGGTAGGGCCACTTCATAGTCACTGCACATAAACAGATAGCAAGAGTCATTCTAGAAGGAAAAGAAAAAAACTTTTAAGTGTTTTTTTTTTCTATTTCTGATCTCTTCCCTGAGTCACACAGTTTCAGCAGAAGCCACTTAACATATGCTTAGAATACTGAATCTCCTCCTCATAGGCGCACCCACAATGCTAGATTTCACCATGTTTTCTTGTCATCAAGCAATTATAATGATCAGGATTCTTTGTTGTTTTAAAAGAACTGAACAGCCCCAGTGGAGTTAATGGAGCGGAGGGGGGTGATTTGTTGGAAGGACTAGTATTTTTTTCCCCTCCACTGGATTTCAACTGATTCTATGGACTGAATCTAAAATGGAAATATAACTCAAACCCAAAGCAGAAACACAACAGAATATATTCCTTCTGTGAAGGCAAGCCTTAAAACCGTGGCTGAGCAGCCCCCAGGAATTCTTGCGTTCTGTCTTGCTCTTCTGAGTTCAGTGCCTTCACAGCTTCCAGACCACCTTTTCCTCTTGCCTGTCCATTCCCATGCCTTTGGGCTTAACCTGCATCGCTATTAGTGGCTGTGAATCAGTTGCCAAACCCACCTCGTCGTTGGGAGAGGCATCCGGTAAGAAGGCCACTCTTAGATTAGTACAGTAAAGAGTGCCAGGAATACGGCCTTCTCCATCTCGGGATGAACTGCATTTTTTTACATGACCTGCTGTTGCTTGGATATATTCACCTGAAATAAACAGTTAATTCACAGTTGAAGGACGACCGCAAGGATTTTGTATTTTATTTCCAAGTACCACTTAGTGGGGTATATGAAGCCAGTATGTGAAGCATTTAAGGAGTTACACGCACTAAGTATGTGATGAAGGATCGTGTATTTTATATATGAAAAATAACGTAGCAGAAATTGTGTACAGATTCTTCCTGCAAGACCCTCCCAGAATAGTCATTTGTGCAGGGAGGCAGTGTGCAGTGTGAAGAATGATCTCCCAGCATCTCTGCGTCAGAAGCGTTTGCTCAAATTATTCTACTGATGCAATAAGAAGGTAGAAATTTATCACACAGATTTCCAGCAGAAAACGGTAAGAAGAAGGTATCCTTTGCATACCAGAAAAGTCTTTAATTGGTTGGGATTCTTTTCTCTAATCAAATCAGTTTATCTGTTTGAGCAAAATCTGTCCAATTCACCAACCGTTCCTCCACAGTGGGCATTTCAGAGTCTTCAATAATACTCTCAAAAGGCAACATTTGAGAGGCTACTGGTTGGAAGGAACTAACGTAACTTGAACCTTGGAAGTTCAGATGCACTTTTCTTTTTCACGCATATAATTGGAGAATAGGCTGGCAAGCTAAACCTAATGCCAAAGTATAATAAATTGAAGGCATTAAAAGGAAAATCTCATCTGGTTTTATGCACTTAGCTCTATTCATTCCATATTGATAAGCAAGGATCTCCCAACTTAAGACTGTATGTACTCTTTTGCATAGCATTACACCTGGAAAAAAGTTTCATGCTTTGCATCTCTTTGCCTTAGTTTCATAGACCTTGCTGCTCTATTGTATGGAATCCAGTGAACCAGAGTGTGTGTATTAGCCTTATTTTGCATAAGGGACTTCTGCTGCAGCAAAACAACTCAGAGAATCCCTTCCGCCAAGTCTTAATAGCAGGAGGAGGGTGTGTGTGTCTTAGAGTGCTATATCTTTCCTGCACCCCTGCCCTGTGAAAGGCTGCTTGCTTAAGCTGAAGCATGTGACCCCGTAATGGCAGCCTGGGAATGATCTGCTGTATCTGCACCTGCTGTTTAAGCACCCCAGCCTCCCAGCCATGTGACGTCAGACATTTGCATTCAAGTGTACAGTAATAACCCTTCACACCCTCCTTGCAAGAAAAAGGTGGTCTCCGTTTTTAATAGCATTTCTAGCTCTGCTTTTTCATCCATGTGCACGGGTGCCCATATTGGCCCATTTCCCCACTACCTGCAATGCACTGGAGAGTACGACAGTTTCCATTCCTCCTTCCGCTCATGTTGGGGGATTCTGGTCTCCTGGGCTGCAGAGAAAGAAGTGAAGATGGGTCACCAGTGCAGCACAAATTTGTTTCCTAGAAGCAAAGTATCTGGACTTGGAACGATCCTTAATCTGAACTAGCAAGACATATTTGGATATTCTTAAAATAATACCCAAGCAGAGATGAAGCAGACAGCACTTGGTGTCTCGTCAGTGCTAGTGAGAGGAAGAGACAAGGGATCATTTTGCATATTATTTTCATTTTATTTTAGTTCGTTCTTTTGCACAGGATACTGGCAAAAGATAAGAGTACAATCCTGTACTCTTATCCACTACACCACCCCAATGTTTCAAGACCCAAGTATAATTTGTTTTACAGTCTAAACTTTAGACTGATTGCGTATTCCTGCATCTTCAGCTCTAGTGATCGTAACAGCACTTGGACTGGCTGACTGACTTCCGTCCTGCATATTTGTGCCTCGGTTTGGAAAACATTGCTTGATTATGCAAAGAATCTCAGAAGAGAAAGAGAGAAGGCATGTAATTGTAAGAAAAAAAACAGACCTTTCCTTGGAAAAGCGAAGAGAGATGATGCAGAAAAATATGCATAAACTATTGATTAGACAAAATGTCAAGCATATCGAAACGCACTAGAGTCACAGACTTTAATCTGTTCTATTTGGCCTTATTACTCTCCCTGGCTGTTCTAAAGAAACGGCCTCAGACCAGCCGCCTGGTCATAGCAGGAACCCTGGAATGAATCTCTTGGGCCAAGAGACTGCGTTTCCTAGCTACCAACTCAAAAGCCAAAGAAGCATTGAAGCCAGGCGGCAGGATTTTTTTTTTTAAAAAAAAAAAAACTTTCTAAATGTTTGTGAATCATTAACGGGAAAGTTGCCCTGCTGAAACGCTCCGTGGCCAAGTACATAACGTACAGAAACAAACACCCATTTCTAAAATTATCACTGCTTTGAATAAAAAGGGAGGGCAGTGCTTTGAATCAACTTGAAGAGTTTGGACACTGAGCTTCTGCAGATCTTTACACAAAATAATGAACAGGAACGCGCCCTGAAATTGCAGCGTTATTCTAAATCTTCTAAAGGAAGACAAAAACAAACCGTTGGCTGTATTGAAATTGTTTCCCAACATAATGCCATGGGACGTCCCGTCATCACGCCCAGCTTTATGGTTTTTCTACCCCTACTTAACTAATTTATTTACAAGTGGCACTGTCCATCCACTCTGTTGTGCAAGAGAACACATTGATGTTAGACAGTGGCTGTTTTGTCCTCGATAAATACTTGGTTTAAGAAGGGAATTTGAAAATCCGAAAGTTTTTCCTGGTGGCAGGGATACAGTTAACACAGGTTGCGTCCCAATGATTTCAGTACACATTGTTTTTGAAGGACTCTTGGAAAACACAGGTGCCACCTTGAGACATCCTTACATCTGCGCAAAACACAGAATTAACTCCCCTGCCAGAATACCACTACCACCAGGTGTAATACCTGTATAATTTACCCATTGTGTAATCAGTTATCAAAGAAAGACCCTTGCAGCAGATCTCACATGTCACCCTCTCCATACTAGAAGGATCTTAACAGAGTCATCTAATCCTTCCCCCCTGCATTGGAGAATATTAACAGGAGAACACCAGAAGAGTTATTCATAGCCATCTTCCCCCTCCACCCCCAGTTTCCCCAAACGACTGGCAAAAAAGTTACTCAACCTTCTTCATTCACACATCAAAACAGGCAGATTCACTACTTACCCCTGTATCCGGAAGAGGGTGTTTAATTTTAAAAGAGTTCTTGGACATAGAAAGCATTGTAGTGTCTTTGTGTGCCCCATAAAAAGGGGGGTGAGTCTGTATTCTTGAGTGTACTGGGAGAAATACAGGCAGGAGGGAAAGAAGTCTGTCACCTAACACCCCCCCCCCCTTCTGATTAGCCTGGAATCAGAAAGGCAGGCTAGGACTGGGGGTGGTGGGGCCGGGGTGGTGGTGGTAGGATGGGGGTCTTGGTGATCAGGTGCCTCCAAGTCTCCTTCCTGCAGGGCAAGATAAACTGAAGCAGCTCTTCTGCATGTGCCGAAGTCTTCCTCGGAGAGGCAGAAGCAGAGAGAATGGATAAATTCTAATCGGATTCCTTTCTGAAAAAATAAAATGCTGCTGCTGTTTGGAGAGGACAGCTGGAAAAGCTGGCCAGCAAGCTGTGCATGTAGGAGGGCTTCTAGCTACTACTGCTGCAAGGCGCGGCTTTTGGCTTTTCCTTGAAGGCCTCCCTCTCCCCCCCCCCCATCCCTTGCTGCAATGGGCCCTTTGGACGTGAGCAACCGCAGGAGGGCCATTCAGTCCTCCAGTCCTCTGTGAAACTGACACCTTCCTCCTCCTGTGGGATAAGCAGGGCGGGTGAAACTGACGCCCGGGCAATGGCTGTGTGCTGCGAGCGGCTGCCAACAACGTCTCCCCTTCTCCAGTAGCTGCTCTTCTCACAGAGCGCTCACTCGCTCACTTACTCTTTGCTGCTCTACGCTGGTGTCTTGTTGCCAAGCTGCTTTAGTCATAACAAATCCAGAGACCTGGATTTGCATTTGACAGGGCTAACGAGCAGAATCCTGTCATTAAAAAAAAAAGATATCACACATGAGTTCTTTTGACAAGTACAGTAAGTGGTATCAATGTGTGGTTTATGTAAGGATAGGCAGAGTCCTCTGTTTTTAAATTTCCAGAAAAAAAATTCCCTCTCAACAGAGGGGCAGACTTGGCAATCCTTTTGGAAAGAGCTAGAGTGTTGAAGAATTGAAGGCAGAAATCATAAATTATCTGCAATAAAGAGAGTTACCCCCATCTAGAGTGGAAGCTACTGCTTTTTAAAAACATGTGATCTGGGATTTATTTGTGAGCAGGAAGATTTTCAGCTTGGCTGCCAAAAGCAAATTAGAGTGATTAAAACAAAAAAATGGATAATGGACACTAAAAAGAAATCAAGTCCATTGTGACCAAATTATGTACAGTAAAAGAAAACATCTCATTTTTATACAAACGGGCGTTGCTGTCATATATGAAAAAAATAAAGACCATATACTTTTCTGCAGAAAATATATTTGTGGAAAGTGGGGGGGGGGGGAGAATTGTCATATGTAAATATTGCAGCTTTTAGATATGCTAAATCCCAATTCTTTTAGAACTCAGTATTGAGAGAGTGGGAAAGCTGAAAAATGAGTTATTTTATAACCTTTTGTTAATTCCAGAATTGTTGGGCAGCAACACTAATTAAACCTAGGTGCTGTGGTCTTTGGACTGGCTTGCTGTGATATTGACTGTTGCAATCCAAAACATCGGAAGAGCACTAGGTTGGGAATATGGCTCCAATCTTGGCAAAATCTTCCTGTTTCCTTCTCCAAGAAAACAAGTAGCAGCCTTTAGGGAATGTGGTTAATGATTACCAAAGGAGGTCTTGCTGGAAGGGGCAAAGGGTAGCCTGTCACAAAGTCTCTGATAATTGACCCAGGTCAATGTCTCTGAAGTGTGGAAATACTATTCTCGGTTAATTCTCTGTATTATATAGCAGCTATTTCAACCTGAAACAGCAAACTGCAGTTCCAGTTAACTGATTGCCAGTAAATATATGAATTGGGACAGATGAATGCTTCGTTTGAAACAGCAATACGCGTACTTTAGTACCCCAGCACTCTGAGACTCCCAACAGGCACTCCTCACACGGAGGCCCAACGCTGTCTTCAGCATGCCTGAGCAGGGATGGTGTAATGAAGTCACCACGCCCTGGCTGGGGGCTTTTATAATATAAGAGGATTAAATAGAGAAAAGGAATGCAAGCTGAAGCAGGGGCTGGCGGACTGCCTGTCAAGCCGCCTTCATTTGTATTTTGCGGTCCAAAGAAGGAATAGAAACAAGGAAACTCTTCTAGCTAAAGGATTGATTCCTTTCTTAGAAATCTTGATTCATTTTGAAAAGATGCAAATAAAAATATGCCCACCTGTACCTGTGTCAGCCTTTTAAGGTAGACCAGACCAGGAAACCGGTACCATAGAGTAGGTCTAAAACTACTTTTATTGGAACCGTTGTAGGGAAAGAATCTTGCAAAGTCTGAATGTAACTTTCTCTCACTTTACGTCCTCTACATCTTTGTGGAAATAAAACCACTTACTTGTTTAATATCATTCCCACTTTCCCTGTCAAAGCAGGAGACTGTCCAGCCTAGTGTCCTGCTTCAAGTAATCATTATAAATAATAATAATAAATAAATTTAAATAATAAATAAATAAATTACCTAATCAAGAGAGAAAACGTTCTGATTTGCTTCTAATAGGTAAACATAGCTCTTTAGGAACGGTTTGATATATTCAGCCACAAATACATTGGTATTTCCTTTTCCAATTCTGAGCACAAAATAAAAATCACTATTGCCCCTAGTAAGGAAAAAAAAACATGTTGAACTGGCTTTGTTCCAAACTGTCTTAAGGCGACTTAGATCCCTTCCGAATGAACTTCAGTTCTTTTAACTTTGCACAATTTTGTTTCATAGTTTCATTGCTATTTAACATAGTGCATTTGTTTACCAACTTTGAGAACTCTTGGGAGTTAAATATGTAGGATGCTTAATAAATAAGCAAGCATAGGAAAAACGATCTAGCTTGAAACAATGTTTTTCTTCCATTGTTATCTGAACAGAGAAAATGCTACAATAGGGCGAATGCTACTATTAAGGGATCTGGGGTCTCGTAGAACCAGCTGAGGTGTCAGAATAACTTTGGAATGTGGGCTGGTGCATACTAAGCCAAACAGAGCAGAGAAGCTCCCCCTTGGTTTTTTTTTTAAAAGGGCTCGTGTACTTTAAAGAAGACTCAACTCTCTCCTCTTCTTCCCCCCCCCCCCCAAATTGTTCAGAGTCTGATTCTTGGAGACTGCCTGGGCAAGCCCTTGCCGTTTTCTTGGCAAGTTTCTTTAAAAGTAGTTTGCCTGCTTCCTAGGTGAGAGAAAGCGACTGGCTCAAGGTCTTTGTGCTCAGGACAAAGGAGTTCACGGAGTTTCTAGCCTGACAACCGCTACACCAAACTGGCTCTCCAGGCAGCAAATAGAGTTTATTCGAGACGTGTCCCTTTTATCCTTCCAAAGCTTATTTTCAGATTCACTAACCTAGAAAGGAAAGTGCCCTCTGGACAGTTGCAGGTATTGTTTTTTTTTTTCTGCCTTTCTCCAGAAATTCTTTTCCTTCCCAATCCCTCCCAGTTACAGGACAACAAAATTGAACTCCACAGCAAAACAAAACAAAAAGCTGTACTGCATGTTTTGCTTCACCAGTCTCCCCACTCGGGGCATCCTTGGTCAAGCGGAAGAGAGTTATTTTTGGAGGCCACAGGGCATGCCTTATTATATACGGGAGAGACGGAGACTCAGCGTTGGGCTTGGTGGTTGAGGCGGAGCTGGCGGTGGATGCCTGTGGGAAAGCAGACGCTTCCGATACAGAATAGGAAACTGCAATTCTGCGGGTCAAGAAGTGATTCAGCCAGAAATCAAACCGGTGGATGCTGCTTGGTTTCCCTTTGCCAAACAGAAGTATAGTAAAGCTTCCGTCCTGAACATAAGCCCATTGTACACTGGATTAGTCCAAAGAAAGACTCACCTTGTCTGGCGTCCAGATATTCCTGGTCACAAGGGGCAGCAGAATAACAGAAGAGTTGGAAAAGGGCCTTGAAGCTCTTAAAGTCCAACCCCTGCTTGAGACTGGGCCATTTCAGATGAATGACACATGGCTCAGCAGTCCTCACAGCATAAACAAGCCTTTTCCACAAGAGTGTTAAAAAATCTGCACCGTTCATAAATTACGTTCCGCTGGATTAAAATTTCTAGGACAGTACTGAACGATTAGGAATGACACCGTGCAACTTCCTGGCCAATATTAACTATTTTACCAGTCAGTAGAACCAGTTGATTCATTTCTTGGCTTTGCACTGAGAAAGAAAAGCAGGCACATCTCACACAGGAAACCCCTGATTCAAGTTCCCCAAAGCCTCAAGAGACCATCTGTGTGAAAAGGCTTGTTACGGTACAAAGAATTCTGGGGGAAGTGCCAATGCAGCATTGAGCAAAGCTGGCTTGGCTGGAGCCAGGTTTGAGAATGTACGTTCTTTGGAACGCCAGCGATATTCAGCTTGGGAACCCATTCCCTTCTGTGTACCACCAGAGTGGCAGAAATCATGGAGAACAGCGGCTGCCCATGTTCTAAATTGGGACCTGAAGTATACTTGAGGCACAAGGGAAGCATTTCACACACATAACGGAGGACAGGCCTAAGCCTACTTTGCATCAGGAGAGCCTACCTGGAATGTCCACTTTTAAGGCAGTGGTGAAATGAGGACAAGAAAGCGGGGATAATAATAATAATAATGATAAAGTTGGAAGGGATCTTGGAGGTCATCTAGTCCAACCCCCTGCTCAGGCAGGAAACCCTATACCATTTCGGACAAATGGCTGTCCAGTTTCTTCTTAAAAACTTCCAGTGTTGGAGCATTCACAGCTTCTGGAGGCAGGTTGTTCCACTGGTTAATGGTTCTAACCGTCAGGAAGTTTCTCCTTAGTTCTAGGTTGCTTCTCTCTTTGGTTAGCTTCCACCCGTTGCTTCCTGTCCTGCCTTCAGGTGCCTTGGAAAATAGCTTGACTCCCTCTTCGTTGGGGCAGCCCCTGAGATACTGGAACATTGCCATCATGTCCCCCCCCCTCGTCCTTCTCTTTGTCAGACTAGACATCCCCAATTCCAGCAACCGTTCCTTGTATGTTTTAGCCTCCAGTCCCCTGATCATCTTTGTTGCTCTTCTCTGTACTCTTTCTAGAGTCTCAGCATCTTTTTTACATCCTGGTGACCATGTCTGTGGGGGATCCTGCCCAATACTTGAAGCAAATAGACGGGGTCTTGGAAGGGGGCCAGACCCTCCCCACCCTTCGGTGTACTTTAGTTCTCCTTTTAATTTGTTCCTAATGCTGAAAGTGACACACTTTCCCTGCCAGGGAGGATATATGAATCTGTAAACCCTCTAGATACACGTAAAAGCAAAGCATTTGGAAGATAAAGATTATTTTAAAATAAGTGAAATAAACAAAACATCAGCAAGAAATGGTGGATTCACAAAGATAAACCAGATCCCAGTCATTCTTCATCTGTAGAGAAGGGGGGGGGACTTGTTTCTCAAGAGGCTCACCGGAAGAAAATAACCTGAAAAACATCAGTTCAACCCCCTGCTTTAAAAAACTACAGCAAAACTTAAGTCACACTAATTTTTAGAAAAAAATATTATCTAGTAACATATAAGACATTGCTGGAGCAAAGTAAACAGAAATTACAACAATGTGTTTAAATAACTGTTTAAAAAATAATTTTTATTGTCAACAACTGGAGAATTAAATCAGGTCAATTCTTAAGACAACTAGCAGAAGAAGAAAAAACTAACAGAAAAACCTTTCTATGGAGTTTCTACATGCTGGTTAAAGTTTATACCCTGGGCGTTTTTATTTAAGGTCATTCTATTTTTGTCAAAATGAAACCAATTGAGACATAATGTCAGAATTAATCATAAAGGAACTGAAGCCAAAACGATTGGCCAATGAAGCCTTTTCTTTTGCTGTGCGAAACATTATTGTGCAAAAAAATGGGAAAAAGTTAGGTTGAGCATGGGAATACTTGGAATATTAAGATCATTGTAACTATTTGGAGAATCCCACAAATGTCTGTCGGAAGCCACAGTCACATCACTAATAATGCACCCTGTCACCTGCCTTGCCTCAGTTGTGGTCTCTGTGCATGTCTGTCTGCATCCATATCCACAGGGAAGTGGGAATAAACCGATTCTGCATCCGTATCCACAGGGAAGTGGGAATAAACCGATGGCTAAATTTCTGTGTGTGCCATAAAGTTTTTCCTCCAGCAGAGGGAGTAAGACCACAAACCTTGCCTTTTTCTATGAAAAACTATTTATTGTAGTGTCCCTTCTAAATTAAAAAAAGGTGCTTGGGAAATTCATCTGCTTATATTTCTGCTCAAGAAAATGATTTAAAAAGGTACCTTAAAATATATATCCACTGCATTCCATTTATAGCTGCATAGATAATGAATAAAAAGGGGGAAAGGGGGTTTATCTTTTCAATAAATAGTATTTTTAATGTTTGCTTTTTTAATGAAAAAAAAAGAGTGCTGTTTCACCATAAAGGAAACAAACCTACACTTTCAGAAAAATATAAGGGAAAGTCAGTGAACAACTCTACCAATTCAGATCTGATCTGGTGTGCAGAAGTTAAATAATGAGAATTCACTGTTACTAAGGCGGAGAAGTTTTGGAATTAAAATTCTGGTGTTCATAGAAAAATACTTTTCAAATAGACGTTTTTAAAGTGTTCACTTTTTTGATGTACAAAAATGCTACAGTCTATGAACCCAATTGCTATAATAATTATACTACTTAGAACTAAGTGATCAGCAACAAACTGCCAAGGTACAATCTCAAAATTACTAGTTACCAGTTTGGAAAAGAAAAAGAAAAAGAAAGCACACAGATCTCAAGGAAAGAGGTCTTACGACTTGGGAAAAAATTATATGGGAAGGGGGAATTCTGCATATGTCGTGTTTTCCACATAGCAAATGTGCATTTCCAAACAAAAAATTTGGAGGTGACATTCAATTTAGTGAAAGTGATCAAACAAAAAAGTAGTCCAATGTCACTGATAGGAATTCTTGCGATAACTAAACATCTTAAGTAACCAGCACTGAAGAGAGACACAGAATCATAAAAAATGCAACCACCATTGCTGCTGCCCTCATAAAAATAGATTTAGGAAAGTTAATCTTTGAAGCAATGTGTAATTAAAAGACTACTTTGAGCTCAGCCACAAACCAACCGAACAAGCTCGTCCTCAAATTAGTTTTTAGTGTATCAAACCCCAAAATTGCTTGAAATATCAAAATTGAAATCCAGAGTTGGATTTTCAGATCACATGAATTATAATCCCCCGACGTCCACTCACTGTCAGATTTTAAAACTGAAATTATTCTTCTGAACACAATGTAAACATTTATGTTGCCTACTAAGAGAAACACATTGTTCTATTTTTCTTTTGCTCCTGATTTTACCCCTCTGCACACCCTGGTTAAAAAAAAAAAAACACTTTTCCCCCCATTATGGGGCTCTTGAAATTAAGTAATCCATAATCTTCCATGACAGCACTCGGCAAGAGGGGTGGGTGGACCATCAGCTGTGGGTGCCAATCCACCTTGTGTGTCTCGGGACCTTTTTTCTGCAAGCCCCAGTGTAATTTTATATCACGCAGCAGCAGCTCCCGAGAAATTTAACACAGCAATACATACATATTTTCCTCTTAATAATGCTCCTTTCTCAAATAAAATTATCTAGGAAAGAAACAAGAAAGTGCCATGTTATTTCATATCGGGCTACTGTCCATGTTAAGGCAGTTTTACAAAGAAAGCAGGAGTGTTGGGTTATTGTTTAAAATATTAAGTACACTTGCAGTTTTCTGTCCCAACTCAGCAGCTCTTGATGGAAAATAATTGCATAGTTTTAGACACCCAAAGGAGCAAAAAAAAAAAAAGGGGGGGGGACCCTTATCCGCCACTCAAAATTCAGTCAAAACATAACTGGCATACGTCTATGTGAAATATCTGATTAGGATGGAGTACCTAGCCATCAAAGGCATTTTCTTTATTTGTTGGAAAAATAATTGCAACAAACGTTGCAACCCCAAAAGTGGGAATAATCGGGTGCTTTTAAAATATACCAATATTTCTGAAGGCTGGAGGTGATGGGAAGTTACTGTATTAGAAAACCCACAAGGAACAAAGAATAATTTCTGTCTTATGTTCCCACCACCAACAAAAGTCAGATATTTTTTTTCTATACAGAACAGAGGTAGTCTGGGAAAAACAGCTTGCACACAAAAAAGGTTGTTCTCTGCAGATAAGAAAATATTATATCGTCGTATCTTCTGATGCTTTTAAAAGTAGCTACAGCAAAATCAGATAGCAAAGGATTCTTGCTGTGATGCCTCATTACCACTTTTCATCTCTCCACGTTCAGAGCTGCCTGCAGTGGTTTATTGCTCTTATTAAAGCCCCACTGATTTCCCCTCCTGGTCTCCAAAATTCTACTCAAGTAGTTTGATTCCATCATGAACAGCTTCATTTTTTTTTTCAGTTTAAAACTTTCTCTCCTCAATTCACACAACACCAAGATTCCTTCCCGCCTAGCACATCAGCTCCTGACAAGACTTTTTATATATATATATATATATATTTAAAAAAACATCTGAAAATAACTGAAGCTAACACTAGCTAGAACAGGCATGCTCAGAAGACCAGACAATTGTGGGAAAAGATGGGTGGATTTGGAAGGAGGCAGCATCAGAAGAACAGGGAGGTAACTAAACTCTACTCTCTCTTCAGAAACGGCCCTTTCCAACAGAATCTACGTGCAGGGTCAGAACACCCCAGAGACACAAAAATAGTCATAATAAAAAAGACACGAAACTGCTAAAGAGCCTCTCAAGTTTCAGACATTAAGAAAAATCTTGAGTGATCCTAATTTTAATCCCTTTGAAATAAAAAAAATATGCTGGAGGATGATCAAATAAGAGGCCTCTGTCACTGTTTTTCTCTAATCTTGGAATTCAAAGCTTTGGTCTAGAGGATTTGCTTGATTCAGCAACTACAAGTCCTGCACAAAAACGCAACCTCCCTGAATTCTACCCCACCTTCCAGGGAGCCGCCCCCAACACGTTGCTTTAGCAGCCCTTGGTCTTCCACCCTTCTAAGGGCTCTGGTTCCCCCATCCCACAAGCAGCTTACCAACCCCAACTGGAGAGGGGGGCAGGGGCAGAGAAAATTATTGCATTCCCCATATCCCATGGGTCCAGATATGAAACACGCACATCTTTGTTTCTTCAGAACCGATGTATCAGTGTCTCTTTCTCCTGTTCTTTGCGTTTCAGCTCTTCTTTGTAACAGCACGAACAGAAATTCCCAGTCTCTGGATGTCCATAAAAACTGCAGTTGGGCTGTTTGCATTTGGTCTGCTGTACACTGTACAGCAGCCACGTTTTGCTTCGATCGCCCTGCACAACTTTCGGAGAGCTGCCGTCTGGCTCTGCGCATTCTTGATAGCCATTGCTGGACAGAACTGGGCGAGAAGAGCCCTCACAGTCCACCTCCACGTAACTAGGCGGCATGTCCATCTCTGTGGTACAGAAGGGCCCCACGGGCTGGGACAGGTGGGACCGGCTCTGGGCACACTGCCTGGGCAGCGTAGCGTAAGAGGGAAAAGGCGCACAGAGGCCTCCAGCAACTTGCCTTCGGCCATCTGGGTAAGTAGGGGGGGGATAGGTGCTTTCCACGTCGCTCATCATAGAAGGCCGGGGAATGGTGAAGACCCCCGAGTGGCCAGTGGAAAAACTGGATATTTTAGAACCCACTGTGGCCAGATCTGAGCTCTGGAGTCTATATGGCGGCAGGACTGGGTGGTCCACGGAGTTGAGCAGAGTCTCTTCTCCTTTGAGAGGATTGCCTTCTAAGTCCATCTTTTTGGCGGCTCCCCCGTTGCCCAGGGCCACCATCCTCTTCTCGGCTTCCTTTTGTTTCTGCTCTGCAGAGTAACGCTCCTCGGCATCCTGGAGATACCGCTGGATCATCTCCTCTTGGTACTGGTGCCGGTGACTGGTCTTCAGCTGACCGGCAAAGATGAACTTGCGCTCTCCTCCTTGCATAGCAGCTCGGAGGATGCTCAAACTCAACCGGACGTCGTTGCTGTATCTGCAGTTATCGGGCTGCTGTTCTGCAGCTGTCTTGGCTAGGCCCGACTTCTCCGGAACAGCTGAAACATCTCCGGAAGGTGCCTCTTCCTTACTGCCCTTCCTTATTTTTATGGAGCCTTTCTTTTTCTTCTCCACGGTCTCCCCTTGTCCGTTGCTCACCCCACCTTTGACTGTTCGGCTGTGCATCAGCCCGCCCATGTTTTTTTTTAGCTTGCTCCCTAGGGTTTTGCCAAAACTTCCAAGTTTATTGGCTACGGAGTCAGCCCGTTTCTTCTCCTTCTCCTTTTCCCGCTCTTTCTTCGCTTTTTCTTTCTCCTTCTCCTTACTGCTGGCCTTGCTGCCGCCACTGTTGCTGGCTGAGCTGCTGCAAACCGATTCCTTATCTGAATCCCCCGAATCTGCAGCGGATCGGACCTCGTCACCCGCAGAAGCCGTCGGAGACTCTGGCTGTGCAAGGGGCGCCTAGGGAAAGAAGGAGGGAGAGAGGCAGCACACGGCGGAGAAGGCGAGAACCTCTCCCCACCGCCAGGGAAAGGGGAGACCGGGGCCGCGTGGGAGGAGGCTGTTCCGGGTCATCTAGTTCTACAGCCAGGTGGGTCTGTCTTAAGAGTGGAGGGGCGCCTTTTCCAGAAAGAAAAGATGACCACGGCTCAAGTAAGGATTATACAATTGTGGACACTATGAAGACACGTTTTAGTGTATGGGTATCTTTAGTACATAAAACCCTTTTTAAATCATAGACCGAATGTAAGCTGAACAGCTCACGTCGCTTGCTAAACAAGCCACCTTTACAACATTAGCATAAAGGCCGGTTTCATCCAATTCTGCTTAGTGCAATTATTTTGTCTTCTTGAGAATAATGGATTTAAGTTGCAGAAAGGCAGATTCTCATTAAAAAAAAATTGAGGAAAAAAAAACCCTTCCTGAAATTAATAACGGTTTAGGGATAGTGAAAGCAACTGTCAAGGGGAGGATGGGATACGTTCACGCGGAGGCTGAGCAGCCATTAGTTGAGGGTGGTTTAAGGTGGACCCTTGTACTCAGCAAGGGTTGGTCTCAACAGCTGAAATAATCTAAATCTAGAATTCTATGATTCTAGGCAGGACAGGAAAATAATTTGGAACGTGATTCCATTAATATTTTTTTTACCTGCGTGTCACAAGACAAGGGGATCCACTTTACATTCATGTAGCTGTGCAGCAAATTCAACTTGGCTTCCAGTGAAAGTGTCACACTAAACAGGCAGGGCCATGTCAAAAACAAAAGCAAAATGAAGCCACGGAGTTAAAATCAGAAGTCCCAGTTCCTGGATCTTATAGAAATTCCAAGTATGAAATAACATTTCCAATAAATAATACCCTGGAGAGATTATTGTAGGTTTCAAAATACGAGTATTAGATATCCTCACTTTTTTCCACTCTAATTCATATTTCAAAAGACTGCCAATATGTCGTCGGCAATTTTCCCTTTCCCAACCTAACGGCAAGGGCAGAAAGTCAGGAGTCAAGGGGGTTCAAATGGTTTATTGGTAGCCAACACACTCTACAACAGAGGTAGTTAACCTTGGCTTTTTTATGACTCGTGGACTTCAACTCCCAGAATTCCTGAGCCAGCCAAGCTGGCTCAGGAATTCTGGGAATTGAAGTCCACGAGTCATAAAAGAGCCAAGGTTGACTACCCCTGCTCTACAAGAATCTGACCTGCTAATGGTCAAAGCAAATTGGTGTTAAAGTCAAGCGGAATTCAAGGTGGGCTGGACTTAGATCCCTGGTGGGCGCAAGGGACTCACGGCTGATGATACGCTAGAGCCCTCCCTCCCTCCCTCTCTCGGGCTCAGCCTGGTCATCTCCTACACCTAACCTCTCATCTCTTGCATGACCCTTTACACCTTCCATTTCTTACTCTTCTTTACCAAGACCTGTTTCTCTGAAGGTGTGTTTGTCCTCCCATACTCCTTTCAAGCTCCAATCCGAAATGCAAAAAATGTAGAAACTCCAACATTTCTTCCAAACCGAGCTCTCCTTTTAGTTACCTTGCCAATTTGACGTTATCATTGTCATCTTTATCCCACTCCCAATCTTTCCCAGGATCCACTGCGAAGTGTACCGGAAGCAGTTTGTGTTCAGAGTCTGTCAGAGGGACCACAGCTAGGTTGAAAAGAAAAAAAGGAAAAAAAAATTCCTTAAGGTCCCCCAAAACAGAATTTGGACTCGGGAAGGCAGAAAAACTACCAGCTACGAGGGGATCACAGAATGCTCCGCCTGATGTTTTTACAAGATCCAAGACAGGCCGCAAGGTCAGAAGGAAGGCAACAACGAGAGCCGCAGCCCCTTTTGTGCGCACCTTGTTCCTTGATGGGCTCCTTTTGCTCCATGGACACCAGGGCAGAGAAATGGGCTTGATCGTAGGCCAGAACCAGTGGGGAACGATGGCACTTGCTGGCAGGAACTTCCAGAGGCAAATAAATGCCACCAAAGGGGATAGGAGCAAACGCTGGAAAGGAGAAAGACGACTCCGGTGAAAACACATTCCTCAGTTCCCAGCACGGAGAGAATGGGTGCATCCAGCAGGGAGTTCCCCGGGGGGGGGGGGAGTTGGCGAAAAAGGTCAAGAGAGGGAAGGACTGACATTTTGTTTGTTCACCCAAATAACATAACGAGACAGAAGAAACTGCTTTTGTGATCTATTCTGTGTTTTGCGCTTTTCCTGGAAGGTTCTAAGAATTATACATGAGCTCCATGCAGGCTACCTCAACAGCCTATCACAGAAGCTTCCCTCTGTTCGCCAGAGTTACTACTTTATTTATTTATTTATTTATTTATATTTAAATTTATATGCCGCCCTTCTCCCCATGGGACTCAGGGCGGCTCACAGCATATTAAAACATTGTACAAAAAATTTTTTCCCCTGCTAAAAACCAATTAAAATCCAAATATTGGTAGCTGTGGCTCTTTAAAATTGTTTAAAAATTGTCCCTATTTAAAACTCACCTTGGGGTATTTTTCTTTCCAAATAAGAAGCATGCTGAAAACAGCAGCTGGCAGTACCAAGGCAGATCACAGCCGCGCTTTCTTAACGCACCTCACTGCGCCCTTACCTTCTCCTCCAGAATCTCGCAACATAGTGTCTGCCACAACCACAATGGGCCTCTTCAATACATGGGAAAGGACAAAAACGTGGAACTCTTCCAGGCTCTCATACACAGGCTCCTCAGATCCTTCGACCCTGAAGAAAACAAAACAAAACAAAACGGGGGCGGGGAGATGACCAAACGTTCAACGTTCTGCATACTGAATCACCGTATCCTATACGCCCCTTCCCTGTGTCACTCAGAACGAGGCAGGCATCCTATGGATTGGAGCCAGCAGCCCTGCGAATGAGGGTTGGCCTATTATAAACACATTGCCAAGACACACTCATGAATTGCCGTTCTCTGGGAATTCACATAGGTGACCTGGGCAGGCACCTTCAAAAACAAGTGCGTTTATTTCCCATTTGAGCATCTTTGACTTCTGCCTAGAAACTTAACTGACTACCACGGTACCTGCTACAAGAGATCTCCATCCTGGTTCCCGCGTTCAGGATCAACGGAGCTTTTTAAGGACCCGTAAAGTATCCCCCATCTCCCGACCCGGAAGCCCCGGGCACTGCCGTGTTTTGTTCAGTGGAAAGTCCTACTTACCCTCCACCGTTCCCGCTGTTGGTGCCGTAATGCATCCGTGGCTCACTCGAAGCCAGTTTGATCAGCTCATTCCACTCCTTCTGCCATTCGTCCTCTGTGTACACGAGGCCAGACTGTAATGGTGGCAGAGACAGTGAAGAGAGTAAGAGATCTGCATGCAAACAGAAACATCTTCTCTCGATCGTCCTACGTTAGAGGGGCTTCTTGGAGATTATTCCCTGGGATTGGCTGCTGCGTTTAGAGGAGAGAGACACCACCCCACCAGCGTCTGAGAGGAGCGAGCGAGCGAGAAAGAGAGAGAGAGAGAGAGAGAGTTGGGTTCCCAAAGGGAAGCAAGGCTTGAATCCCAGACTCGGGAATCCCCTTTGCTGAGCCAGGCCTGGCCTCACCCGTTCTCAAAAGGCCACTCCAAATCATTTACCTCTTTGTTTTGCTGGGTCTGCTGCCACCTCCAGCGTCGCTTCAGAGCCTCCCTCTCCACCCCTCTGTCCATCAGGGCATAAAGGCATTTGCGCAGCATCAGATCCCTGTCGTGGAAACCCCACATACCTGGAGGTGGCAAGGAGGAAATAAGAAACGGCCTCCTTTGAAGGCAGGTTTTAGTGGGCCGGCTGGGCCCCATCCCATGTCCGATTGGACCTATGTCGTCACATGCTTGCTTTGATTTTGGTTTACAGCATTGGTGGCTTGCAATATTCAGAAGGAGGAGGAGGAGGAGGAGGAGGAGGAGAAGGAGAAGAAGAAGAAGAAGAAGAAGAAGAAGAAGAAGGAGAAGAAGAAGAAGAAGAAGAAGAAGAAGAAGAAGAAGAAGAAGAGGAGGAGGAGGAGGAGAATAATAATAAAATAATAATAATAATAATAATAATAATAATAATAATAATAATAATAATAATAATAATAATAATAATAATAATAATAATAATAATAATAATAATAATAATAATAATAATAATAATAATAATAATAATAATAATAATAATAATAATAATCTGGGACGTGGAGCCTGAGGAAGAAGATTCAAAAGGCTACTCAAACTGACTCTGTGGAAACTGAAATATTTGTCACTTTGGCCAGGAAGCCATAAACATCATAAGCCCTTGCTTATGAAAGAAAAAAAAAAAAGGAAGCCGGGGGGGGGGGGAGGCAGCTGCTTAGCAGCCGAAGGCATGCACAGAGTAAATTTGTACGTTTTTACGACTGAAAGGCCTTACCTAGTGATGCAGCATGAAGCAGGCAATTTCCGTCACCCGTTGTTGCCAAGGGAAGCAGCCTCTGACAGCTGGGATCTACGTTGGCCCACCAGTTCAGACGACCTAGGCAAGGGGGGGATAGATGTGTGTGTGTATATATATATACGTACTGAATACAAACACATGCTCTACATTTGAGAGTTTGTGGGCTGGAGCATTTCAGGCACACCCTGCTATCTTCTGCTACCTGGCCTCACTTCTGCATTTAAAGAGTCGCTCCTTGAATATTACGGAAAGAAAGGAGAACCTCTTAGGAGACTCGCCAGCCACCGCAGCTACTTGAGAGATAAAAGAGGTGACAGGAAAGAAAGACTTGGCCGGACCTTAAAAAAACCAACTGGAAATGAAGGAGGTTACTGCATTACTGTGCATTGCTGCGTCCTCCGGCACACACAGCCAAGCACCCTGCAATGTTGGAGAGCGGGAGGATTAGCCGCAACCCGACCAAAGCAATCTTTGCCTTATAACTAGAACCAAACTTCTGATCTTGCCTTAAATATGGCAATAATCACCCCCAGCTTCCTTTTTTTTAAAAAAAAAAAAAAGGATGAAAGAAATATCAAAAGGTCAGCAAGATGGGCAAAACAGCATTTCTCAAGAACAACTCAATCCTACGAGAAGGCTCACAACAAGAGAGCCTTTTGATTAGAAGGATTAATCACAGGTAAAAGCTTTGCATTCCCTGGAATGGCACACTTAACAGGCTGGAGATCAGCAACCATTCCTCCCTCCCTCCCACCTCCAAGAGAAAAGATCTGACTCTGTGAGGGAAACACACAGGGTGGGCCCTGAGCCAGCGTTCGTAAACGGGCAAGCCACTTCCCATGTCGGTGGCATGCAGCACAGCCCCGTCCCACCCTGTCACTGAGCAGCAGAACTTTAAAGAGCAACCGAGATAAAACCAAATCTGAGAAAAGCAAAAACACTGCTCACTGCAAAAGGGTTTTTTAGAATTTTGGCTATTTCTTTTGGATATATCATCTTTTTTTCTGCCTCAGTTTCCCTCCCTCCCCCTCTCTTTCTCTCATTCTCTCTCTCAGACACACACACTTGCATGGGTACTAGAGGCTTACATCATTGTCTTCCTAAGCAACAGCAGATTGTGTCTGAAAGCAACATAAAGGCATTCCTGTTGGCACTGATCTCCCAAGCCTCACAGCCAAGAAGCTGCCTGGACACGTTTTCCAAGTTGGACAGTTTTAAAGTCCAGGTAACCTTAAATCGTGTCACCTTAAGGGGGGTAAGTCAGAAGACACTGCGATGAAGGGAAGCCCCAAGTGATTCAGGAGATTTGTGATTTATTTTTTCCCCCATTTTTTATTAAATTAAAAACAGATAGGGATGGAGGTAAAGAGAGACTCCCCTCCCAGCTTTCTTACATTTAAAATTATACGACTCATGAGGTAGTCATTATTTTCAGGGGGAAAAGTTACCTTTCTGCAGCTACTCACCACAAATAGGGGGGGGAGGGTTTATATTAATCCTTGGACCAGTCTGCAGCACTAACCAATTTAAATTTTGTTGGGAAAGTGCATTGATTCCCCGAATTATTATGAGCCTTTTAGCAAAGATCCCAGGAAGACGTATAAAATGTGACGCTGGCTATTAATGTAGGAGAGATTGTGGACATTTCCAGAACGCGTATTTTTTTTTCCTCTTCTTAAGTTCTGAGAATTCCGCAGTGTGCTGCCATTTTCCAATTTTCCCAGCCCTCAAAACACATCCTAACAGATCAAAGGAAGAGGAACCAGAGCGAGCATTACTAGGCCAACGCTGAATTCTAAACTCTGAACCTCCACAGAACGTGGAACGTGCTTTAAGTCAGCCTGGATGGAAAAGCAAAGACGCTTTTTGATATATGAGGGGATTCTATGGGGAATTTTGAATGAAGGTGCACTGGGACTTAGCCGTGCCCTCGGCCTGTACTCACCGGCCTGCTCCAGGGCCACCAGCATGGACTGCTCGATGAGATCCCGCTCGATGAAGCTCCGGAAGTCCTCGTTGTAAACGTTCAGGTTAGGCAGCTGGAAGGTGCAGATGGGCATCTCCAACAGATGCTCGCTGCTGCCACTGCTGGTGCCGCCATTGCTGGAGACGTGGGAGCGAGCCAGCGAGACGATGGTGGAGCTGGCGTGGGAAATGCCTCGGGACAAGCGCTTCTCTGAAAGCAGAAGAGGAAGTGACAGCCGGCTGCAGAGGCTGCGTCATCGTCCTCTCCTCACTGGAGCAGGAACTCAAAACACAGGGAAAAGTCACCACGTTCCAGGCGCCGACTTGCTGTCCTTGGGATGGCAAATCGCGCCTCTATCCACAGACCGACCTTTTTCAGCATCAGGAGAGCCTTTTACCTTGAGTTATATCATCTTGGCGCTGCAGCTGTGGCCGGACGCTCCGGGCGATCTCCTTCTCCACAAATTTAAAAGTGCGACCATCGTTGAAGGAACGGGGCAAGACCCCGGCATGGACCTGCCTCAGCTGCTCAAAGTCATTCAGTGCAGCATTCAAGTCCCAGTTTTTCCCTAGGAAGACGAAGCCAGTCTAAGCAGGTTTTAAAAAGCCAACCCAATTTCCTCTTTTCCTTCGTAAGAAAATTTGGGGATCCTCCTCGCCATCTAAAGGAAATTTCCCCGCTCTCAGCCTTTCATCTCTGCTTTCTCTAATTTTTTTAGAAACAGATGCGTTCCCTTTTCTGAGCAGACCCATTCAGGGAATCTCATAAGCATCAGTATTTCACTGGATGTGAGGCTTATAGGAGACCCCCAACTATGGAATAAAATCCTATAACAGACCTCAAGATGGAGAGCTTTGGGGTGAGCTGGGGAACAACACAAAATGTAGATAATCATATAAACTGCTAGGTGGGGAGTGGCATTTTCTGAAATGAGCATATTATTTTGCAACTCAAAAAATGGATAACTAAGAGGCAAGACGTGAAGGTAGCAGTAAAAAAAATAAAAACAACTGAAGTTTTTTTACCTTCAAGCAAGTCTCTTGCCAATCCTGGCTCTGCCCCAGTTGAGCGAACAAAATCCGAGAGGACCACATCCATATCCAGGGTGATGCGATCATGAATTCCTTGCAGGCGACTGGAACCGCTGGGACATCTAACCGGGACAGTTTTTCATTCTAGAAGAAGAAAAAGAGAAGATTGCAGTTTGGCTGATTGCCACAAAGAGTGACTTTCAAGGCCATCCGAGAGATTTGCCAGTTTGACTCAATGGGAGGCCGATGGAGTTTGCACCCTCACAGCCTTGTCTCCCTGACCCCATCCACAGAGACCTAAACCCTGCCTGGCAGCATGAAATTGAAACAGTAAGGGGGCGGTTGGAAGGCCTCGGCCTTCGGAGGCAAGGCCTTGCGGATGGGCCTCGGAGTCTGGCTCTCCCACTTAGGGCTCTGAGGGGGGTGGTCTGCGCTGGTCCTGGCTGACGGTAGATTCCACCCTCGTAGGTCTTCACTTTCTAGCTAATCTTCGTTAATTTGAATTGTTTTTATTATTTACCTTTTATCTTTTTTTGTAAGCTGCCCAGTGGTTATTTCAACAGTTAGGTGGGCGGCGTATCAATGTAGTCAACAAATACTTAAGCCAGCAACAGCTGACTTTTCTCCCCAAGGCAGGCCCAGCTCCACTCCAGGTAAAAGACCGCCCTTATCACTTCCGGATAAGCATTGGCATTTTGCACAAGCCGCCTGCCAAGGGTCAGTATTAACCATTGCTGCCATCTGCCCTCAGCCTTCAAGTTGGGGAACAAACCCTAACAAACTTCTAAGCATCTTGATTTTAGGTGCTTCCCATCTGCCCACCCTCAAAGACGGCCTCCAGACAGATAAGCAGAAGAAGCACTCCGGCTTAAGGATTCCTAACGGATCCCTAAAGATCACCCTGACAATTCCAACCTTTGTTCTTCAGCCAGGCCCAGCAGTAACTTCTCTGCTGTATCAGAGAGATGAAAACAAGAGGGTAGAGATCCCTTTGCAAAGAATCCACTGGGCTGGCCTTTGTCACGCCTGACTTGCTACATCCCTGGATCAAAAAATAACACCTCAAATGACTGACATTTTTTTTAATATGTGGTAGGTACACAGAGGAGATAGGAACCTGCCAAAACGTTTAGATCTCTAAACAGAATAACATGGAAAAGGCATGACTTTCCTTAACTTGAACATGCACAATAATTATATTTTAATCTGATCTATAGGAGGTGAACAAACCACCATTCCCCATGACTTAGCAGGGGACAAAGCCATGCCCTAGATAGTAGCAGGACATCTGAAGCTGCTAGTAGTACGTTGTTCTGAATGCCGAGGCCAAGAGAGCAAGAATGCCCCCTGTGCCACGGTGCGTGATACCCCCCCCTTCACATGGGCAATGCTCTTTTGCTACCTACCTAGAACATACACAATGGTGAAAAAAAAAGTGCTATGTGGAACAAAGCAACAGATTTTGGTGGATGTAGGAGAGTAAGCTGTGCCATTCCCTGTAATATTTTTTTCCACTGAGGAAAAGGAATTGTTACCAATACGAAGCGTGGAGCTCTATCTTTTAGGATGGATAATAGGAGAAGTAAAAGGAAAGTAGAACTGGGCCACCTCGCCTTAAAAGTCGGTTAGGCAAAACATCAGGTTGACTTTTAAACAGAGGACAGTCTAAGAGGCCAGTAGGAGAAGATACGGGAGAAGTTCTTAATAATAGATAATTTCCCCATCTTTAAAACCAGGTATTACTATCCCTGGGAAATTCAAGAAGAGTGATCTGCTGTTGAAAGGAACATATCTTTCTGTTATTGTGCTAAAGTCTCTAGTCTTAATTCACCTTCCAATCAGAAACAAAGCCAGCCAAAGCAAGGAAGGAGTCTTCAGTAACCTGCCTGAATGCTGTATAAGCATGGCAAGTGACTGTATTTATTTACCAATTACCTCTGAAGAAAAGGCAACAAAAAATCAAGTAACTGCACACAAACCCATCCTTTGCAGCAGGCAAGCTTGGAAACTCAATGTATGTATGATATGTATCATCAGTCCTGTGATGATGTAATTTATTTCCTTCCTTCCTCCCTCCCTCCCTCCCTCCCTCTCTGGAGCAAGTTATTCACCTCACGTTACACCTCCCCCTAGAACTCCAGGAGGATTTCTGGGACCCTGCATGACTTCGGCAACTACACCCCGATATTCTCACCTCTATTAAGTGGATTCAGAGGCTCCAAGGAGTTCATTTTTTTGCAGAGGTGCATAGTAGGGAAAGATTCCTGCCATATCAGAACAGTCCCACCTAAGCACACATAAAGAGAAACGTGCCCAAAGACACGCGGGAGATCGGCCTAGCCTATTCCAAAGAAGAAACACTGAAACTTTTCATATGAACAGCAGAGGTTAAATTGTGTACTTTGGAATGCCGCACGGCAGTGGGAAAGAAATGGACTGCTATTCTTTGTAACAAGAATGGAATACACATCATTTCTCACCAGCAACTGTAGTTTTAAAGACAGAGAAGCTATGCCAAATAATTATTATATACATTTTTTTAAAAAGTGAGTGACTAAAGGCCACTTATATAATAAAAAATGGGTGCAGGAATGTTTGCTCATGGAATTCCAGCTGCATGTTCCAACCTACCTGTGACTATATAAATCAGTATACGATTAAAAGATTTGTGGATCACATTTTATGACTCCATATAGGGTGGAGAAGTCCACACCCCATTGGGTCCAACTTCATAACTTAACCTCTGCATCACAAAGGGGAAACGATACACGTTTGTCAGGTTTTCTTCAACTTGGCCAAAATTGTGTATAAATTGTGAATATTTCCCCTCACCTTCCATGCCAAAAAGCAGGCACAATGTAAAATGGAAAGTACTGCCAAATGTTTTCCATTTATTCTAGTTTTCAATTCTAGTTACTGAATCTTATGTTTTTAATAACCAAAATAGATTTACTTATTGCCTCCTAGGCAGCAGACAGGCGCAAGATGAAATCTGGTCTTGAACACTACTCAGAAATACATTTCTTGGTTAAGCCCACAAATCATTTTGCCTTCTCTCTCTCCTTATCCCAGTACATCAGACATAGCCTGGCCCAAATGTGTATGTGTGTGGGGGGGAGTGTTTCCATTTACAGTCCCTTGCCATGAATGGGCCTCTATTTTTAAATCCATCTCCCAGCAGTGAATTGCAGATTTAATTGATCCCTTGCAAATAATTTAGCAATGCACTGTGCAGCCCTCCCAATACAAATATTCGCCTTCATTGTAATCCCATTGCTTTCCAACCTTCAGCCACAAAAAATGTTCCCAGTCATGCAGCATTTTAACTCCAATGCATGTATAATCCAATAGCCAAACAGGATACAGTTTTATAAACCAGGAGATCCTTAACAGTCAAATATGTTTATACGCGTTTAAGATGGCTACTAACTTCCTGAGGACCTAACTGTGAGGTTTGCTTTTTAACAATAGCTATTTCTGAGCTTTGAAAAGATTCTTGACAGGCAGAAAACTAAGTACTGTTTTTTTTCTCTCTTACTTTTCTGCAGGAAAAATGACTGGAGAGGTTGTATCTTATCCCAAATTCCTATGCACCAAATGTAGAAGAGGCTCTTTCATAGAGGAGAATTCTAGAGAAATTCACTTCCGCTGTTTAAAAAGGTGAGGAAGAATTCCCTAACAACTGAAGCTTGTATCCCCCAAAGCAAGTTACATCAAGTTCATGGCTTCTTCACATACACACACGCAAAGCTGCACGGGCCATAGCCTTGAAAGAATGTTGCTTGAGAAAGGAAAGATGATGCACAAAGTTGTATCATAAATATGGGCCAAACAATTTCAATATGTACTATAGCTCCGATCTAGCCAATGTTAAAGTAGTTGGGCCAGGAGAGGCTAAAGACGCCATTCATAGTCAGGTTGCAAATCATTTTGGTTTAATATGTGTGTCAACATCCTAAACAACCTGTTGCCTAAATTCCAATCTTCAGGCCATTAACTCTTCCATACCGATTAGTACATAAAATGAGTATTCCTCTGTTATGTGCATTCAGTTATTGGCAACTATAATTTGTAGGGAAGATAGCGAGCAGCATGGATAAAAATAAACTTAAAACTAGATGACCAACTAAAAATGCAGATACTTGGAACAGTACCTATGAAAGAGAACATCACCAATGCAACCCAATGCACATAAGGCACCAGTAAAAGTATGTAACACATCTTTAAATCGATATGCATATTTATCAGCCAGATTCTTGGCTGTTTAATGTAAGTCAAATTAGAATACATATTTTTTTAAAAAGTAAAGCCTTCATTAATACCTTAGTTAGTGAATATCTATCTATCTATCTATCTATCTATCTATCTATCTATCTATCTATCTATCTATCTATCTATCTATCTATCTATCTATCTATCTATCTATCTATCTATCACCCATCTCACAATAACTAAAAATGCTTGGCAATCTTCCTAACTAAAAGAAATATATCCAGACGATTGTATTTTTATGATTATGATCATGATTTATCACTTGCTGTTCATATGTGCACTGAGAGCTTATGCACCCAAGACAAATTCCTTGTGTGCCCAATCACACTTGGCCAATAAAGTTTGATTCGATTCGATTCGATTCTCCCTATCCCTATCCTCATTCCATTCCAATTCTTGACATCCATTCAGCCAGTAGGAAATGCTTTCTGGATGCCCAATCTAAAACTCTCCCCGCATTCCATCAGAGAGGGTGTTTTACTATGAGGGCACCCTCATGGAAAAGCCTTGTTTTCTTAGTAAAGGAAAGGATGGAGCAAAATAGGCAGCTACTCTCCTGTGTGAGAAATAGTAGGCCTCTCCTCAGTTTTGCTGGGGAAGGGGGCAGAAGGGTGCTGCTGCCCTCCTTTCCTGCTTGAGGTGCTTCCTGGATGCACTGGAAAAATGCTGGATGCCACAAGGGGCTTGGCTCTCAGGACCCCTGGTAACAAAGGTGTCCTTCTATGGAGGCCTGGACTCCTTCCCTTGAGGGGCAGCTGGGCCCAGGGACTTTGCAAGACAAGAGGGATTCCAAGATAAGAGCTATTACACAGCTGGATCCACAGACCTCTTCCATTTGCCTCTGGCATACAAAGGTAGACACAAATCTGCCATTCAGCTTAAGTGGCCATCTGTACCAAACATTCTTCTTCCACAAAATAAGCACTAAACATAAGCATTAACAGATATTTTAAAAAAAACTCCAGATACTTCACACAACCTTCACTGACCGCTCCTAGGAATTTTGAACGGTAATTCCTAACTCTGTACAGTACTGTTATTTTACAAAACATGCAGGAAAGTCCTCACTGCTTGTAGAAATTTCTGTTCTATGAGGTGGAGGAGTCAGCACACAAATGGCTGAAATTCTTGAGATTCCAAAGCCCCACCAAATTCTCATCCTCCACAGTCAAAGTCGTAGAGATGCCTCCCACTTCGGCATTTATTCTGTCTTGAATGGTAAAATTAAGTAGCGAATGCTTTCAGCCTTTAAACGGTTCAAGGTGGAGGAGCCGAGAATAAAGCAGTTTCTCTGTGGTACTATATCACCATCCGTCCACCTGACTAAGGCTTATCAGTACACTGCTGCTTTCTTGGGTTCTTGGCAGAGGCTGGATCAATAATATACTAAAGGGTCCGATTAGAAGACTGCTGCCAGAAACACAAAAGGGCAGCCAAGATCAGAATGGGACCAAGCAAATATTCAGAACAGATGGCCGCGCTGATTACATCTAGGGTTGAGCCTACTCACAGACAAGCTAGTCTTCAAGCAAGATCAGAGGTTAAAGTGAAAGTTGATGGGTCACCTCAACTGCTCCAAAAATCACCACTGGCCTCACAGAAAGAGGAAGATGTATTGACTCAGAACCCACACTTTACCCTCTGAATGAAGCAAATACAAACAAGAAAGGAAGTCGGACCATCCAGGATCTCCATGAAATCCCTTGTGGAGAGGTTAACTTAAGGACAGAGGACTCATCACAGTTCTGGCTCTGCCCTGTCCCGCCTGCCTGTGGATTCACCAGACAGCTGGAAGGGCCCTACAACGGGGGGCCCAAGGATCTCAGTTTTCAGCACTGCAGGCAGAGTCAAACCCAGAGCAAATGGACCTAGGTCAGCAGAGGTTGGAGCCGGCATGCCTTGGTGCAAGGAAGCTGCTTGAGCCTTTAGGACAGTGATGGCGAACCTTTTAGAGACCGAGTGCCCAAACTGCACCCCAAAACCCACTTATGCATCATCGGGTGCCGGGTGGGTGTGGCCCATTGGCTGGGTGTGGCCCATTGGGTGGGCGTGGCTGTGGTGGTAACAGCAGACTGAGTGGTACTAAAAAGTTCAATCAATCAATTTCAACTTTGCAAGATCTTTTTTTTCCCCCGAGGTTGAAATTTACAGATTGAACCTTTTTTTTTTTTTTTTTTTGCACATGGCAGCGGAGGCCTAAAGCGAAAAGATTTTATAAAACCCAGCTGAAGGCCTAGGACTGGGGTGACGGTGCGCGTGCCCACAGAGAGGCCTCTGAGTGCCGCCTCTGGCACCTGTGCCATAGGTTCGCCACCACTGCTTTAGGAGAACGAATGGCTGTCATCCTTCAGCAGCAGGGCACAGGATGCAGAACAGCCCCAATCCTGGTTCTACCGTGGGTCTGGGTGGGAAAGGCTGCACTGCTCCAAACCTCGGGAGCCAGCCAGCCAGCCACCCACCCCTGTTCAGTGCCAAAGCCAGGCTGAGCTGGCTAGATCAGCACTATGACTCACTGCAAGGAAGTCCCTGGCACGGTCTTTTTCTTTCAGAAAGGCTCCTGGGATAGGCAGACTGCTCAGCTGAAGAGCATGCCCTGCGTAAAGGCTTGGCTCTCTTAAAGACACCAGGTCTTTCCTAAGCAGGCTTTGTGCTCCCACAACCAGGTCTTTCCTAAGCAGGCTTTGTTTGGACGGGCGTGTTCTGTGCCAGAGGAACAGGGCTCGACTGGCAGGCGCTCACCTGCCAAAGGCACAGAAATCTTCCTAGACGAGCCCCGCGGATTTCATCACATCCCTCGCGATCAAAGGCTGCAGGAGTCAAGAAACACAACTCCTTGCCCAGAAGACTCGTGCTTTGCTTTGCTCCCAGGAAGACGGAGGCAGGCGAGAGAAAAGAGGCCAAGTGCCCGGGCAGGGACTGGGCACATCCAGGGCTTCATTTCCCTCCTTCCCTCCCTGCCTCCCTTGAAGACTTTCCCACTTCCAGTAACGGCACCGTTGCAAGGACTCCTCTAATCTAGGAGTCAGCGTTCACACGCCGGAGGAAGATCCGTGTCGCGCACCCCCCCCTCCCCCGCGCAGCCTCCCCTCCCCCCTGGGCGGAAAGGCGGCCCCGGCCCTCCCGAAGCGAAAGTGCGGAGGAGGCCCGGGAGCTTAGCCGGAGTCTTCCCCGGCCGAGCCCGGGGGGGGAAGCCGCCAGGCGACGAGCGGCCCGGAGGCGCCCCAGCCCCGACGACCGCCGGATCCATCCGATCCCGGGCGGAGAAGGCTCCGGCAGGGAAGGTGGGTGGGTGGGTGTGGCCGGTGGGCCCCGGACGGGCGTCGCGGCGGCGGCGGCGGCTCTCTTACCCCGCTCGTCCTCGGCGGCCGCCGCCATCCCGGCTCCGAGGAGGGCCCAGACCGGGAGGCGGAACCTCGGCCGGATGGCCTCCCGGAGACCGACCGGAAGGAGCGGGGGGGGGGCAGGAGGAAGAAGAAGAGGGCGGCGGCGCCCCTTTTCCGCCCGATCCAGGCCCCGCTCGCCCGGCCTCTCTCTGCGCGTGCGTCGCTGGAGCGTCCCCGGCTCTCTCTCTCTCTCTCTCTCTCTCGCCCCGGAACTCCGGTGCGCTGGATCCTCTGTTTCGCCCGGAGGTGTTTCTCGGATGCCACCGGCCAATCTCGCGCGCCCGGGCCGTGAAGGGGGGGGGCTGGGGGGGATTCGCCCGCCCCGCAGCCGGGAGGGAAGGGCTCGTGGCGGACCCCCCCCCCCGCTCGCCCGTCTGCTTCCTCCGGCTCTCTGCGGGCGCCCCTTCCTCCCGACTCGGGGCAGGGGCTTCCGGGAACGCGGCGCCCAGGGCGGGAGCAACCTTGGCTCTTTTATGACTCGTGGACTTCAACTCCCAGAATTCCTGAGCCAGCATGAGGGAAACTTTGGCCCCCTCATGACTGGTGGACTTCAACTCCCAGAATTCCTGAGTCAGCCATGGCTCAGCTTGGAAACCTCTCCCTTTCCCCTCAGCATGGCTGGCTCAGGAATTCTGGGAGTTGAAGTCCACCAGTCCTAAAAGAGCCAAGGTTGCCTACCCCCGAGCTAGAGCCATCCGGGACAGGGGAAGGGGCCGCGGAGGAGAACGCCGCTCGCGGGGAGGCGTCGTTAAAGAGAGGGCTGCGGTCCGCCTCCCAACCCAAGGGGATTCCTCCACGGGTGCCTTTCCCCACCTTAGGCTCGGCCAGCTTTACCCAAACTAACCTCGTCGGCAGGACCTGTTCTCGGGGATGCGTACTGAACCGGTTGACCTGCCGGCCGGTTCCCTAGTAGTGAACCCTGGGATTCAGTGGGATAGGCCGCGTTACGATGTTTGTGTGGACTTTTATGTGGCTGCTTTTCCAGAAGCGTTGGATGCAGCGCCATACAACTGACTAGCACTGGTGAGATTACCTAGTTTGGGTAATGAAACGTCTGCAACAGAAACAATCCAGCTCAGAGAGCACCGAGGACCCCGATCCTTTCCTCTCTGTTACCTCTCTTTTAATGCAAAAAAGTTAGCTGGCACACAGTGATGCAAAAGTGCAAATCCAGTAACCAAACTGCATAAATTTTGTAAGTGCCGTGTTACTGCCGAGCAAGTGGCAAAAGTGAGCTTTCAGATAATATAGTGCTGTACGGATGAGTATACCTGCCTTCATCAGAACTGCGGACAGGTACCTTTTCCTGCATGAATGAGTGCACAGGCATTGTAACTAAGGAGGACATCTGCCCAAAAGATACACCACATAATATTTGGAGTCATATTCCGTGACTAATATTACATTGCTTTAAAATAGTGAAAATGTACATTACAAATATATTCATATTCACAGTCAACTTCTTCCTCAAGCATTCAGAAAAATAATTAAAATGCTTACTTCATTTCCTGAAAACAACAAGGCCTCAACTTGGGTGAACCTCCAGAAAAAGAAAGTTCCGGAGCAGAGGATTCTTTGCTGTTTCACACGGCTCTTCTCAAGAAGAAGAAATAAATCTTGGTCTCAGGACCTCAGTGCTTATCTTCCCATTCAGCTTGAAAGGCTAACCTTCACCCTTGGAAATCGCTGCTGCTATGAAATGATAAAATATTTGTCCCTGCCAACAGTTTCTTAGAAACAACAACACACCAGTGGGCAGAGCCCTTTGGCACTCAAGACCCCTGTAAGGAGAGGGACGGCATGTCCCATGGGACCGAAGTGCTTGGCATTCTCCTGATCGTGGGCTGTCCGTAGTGCTGACAGTCCAAGCTGGCGGGATATGTATGGGGTCAGCTCTACAGTTTGGGCTGTCTTTCTCCAAGGCTGGGAGGATGGGTCACCTTGAAGACAAAAATTAACACTTGTGGCGTGTTTCTCAGCCCCTGGATTAAAAAGCCAGCCTACACAGGGAGCTCAGAGTAACCAGATCTTTTTTGATGATGTTGTTTCCAAAGGCTTGCCCGGTAGTGTGGCCATCGTGGCCAGCAGGTCAAGTAGAGTCATGCAAAACATTTCAAAAATGATTGTCCTGTGTAGGTAACGTAGAGCTGTGTGCCTGCAGTGAGTGCTTTAAAATGTATTCATTTTTACTTGCATTTTATTTCAGTAGTTTTTTAGAGGAGAGGTTTTATTTCAGAGGAAATGTAATCACTCTTCTCATACAATTCTGTGCTCTGGAAATATTTATCTGCCTCTCTTATTTTCTGTGCCTGCATGACACAGTAATTGAAGGATCCAGCCTGGTTTCAAATTTCTTCTCAGGCATGAGGAAGAAGTAAAATCAAACTTTTCTTCAAATATCCATTTGTTTTAATCCCACCTTTATTATTTTTATACATATCTTAAGGAGGCAAACGTACCTAATGCTCCTTCTCCTCCTGTTTTTCCCCACAACCACCCTGTGAGGTGGGTTGGGAATAAGAGAAAGTGACTGGTCCAAAATCACCCAGGTGGCTTTCATGCCTCAGAAGGGACTAGAAACTCAGGGCTTCCCGATTTCTAGCTCGTTGCCTGGACCAAACTGGCTTCCCAGTTCCGTCTTCTTGGAGGTCTCACGGTGTCCCTTTGATGGGAAGAGACGGCATAGGTGGGTTGATTGCTTTTACGCCCCTGCAGGCTCTGTCCCTTGGGTCACAGCTTCCACGATACCCCTGGCATCGTCCAATAACTCCCATCTCAAAATTAATCCTCCTGATCCTAAGTCACAAAAAACGAAGAGGCACAAACCTGTCTCCAGTCAAAGTAGAGAGCTAAGAGGGGCTGGTCACATGGCCACCTCAGCCGACCCAGAGAGTGAATTGTTGCCTTTGTGTTTTTTTTTTCCCCAGCCGTTGTTGTTTATGTCCCGGACAAAAAGACCATTTGTCATCTCTGTGGACAAGGGGAAAAGTCCGGCAAAGAAAGGAGAGCCTGTGCAAGGCTGATGGGCCCAAATTTTGTTTTCTTGAGCTTTTTAAAAATGAAACGCTTGGGGTTTTTTTTGTTGTTTCTGATGCAATGTTTATGCAAAAGGGAGCTGGAGAAGGGGGGGTGAAAAAGTCTTTTATCGGTCATTTGCACAGATCAATAGGAATGAAGAGTTTAATGAAGAGAAGGACGAGGGGGGACATGATAGCAGTGTTCCAGTATCTCAGGGGCTGCCCCAAAGAAGAGGGAGTCAAGCTCTTCTCCAAAGCGCCAGAAGGCAGGACAAAAAGAAACGGATGGAAACTGATCAAGGAGAGAAGCAACCTAGAACTAAGGAGAAACTTCCTGACAGTGAGAACAATTAACCAGTGGAACAGCCTGCCTCCAGAAGCGCTGAATGCTTCAACACTGGAAGTTTTTAAGAAGAGACTGGACAGCCATTTGTCCGAAATGGTATAGGGTTTCCTGCCTGAGCAGGGGGTTGGACTAGATGACCTTCAAGGTCCCTTCCAACTTTACTATTATTATTATTATTATTATTATTATTATTATTATTATTATTATTATTATTATTATTATGAGAGTTGTTTGCACTTGGTTGGGGCTGAGCCAGAAGGACTGGCAAGTGCCGGACCAGATACTTGTCCCAGAATGAGAGAGAGAGAGAGAGAGAGAGAGAGGGAGACTGCACCCCCTCTTGGGTGCACAGACCTCTTGGATGCCACACACATACACCCCCACACACTCCCCTCCCTCCCCCCCAAATGCCTTCACAGGGAAGTAAAAATCAGCATTTCTTCTCAGCCTTCCAGCAGGGAGGGAGGGAAGGAGGGGGGAGACCGGGGCTGTTGCGGCCTCGCGGCGCCCTCTGGCGGCAGGCGCCGGGAGTTCAGCCGAGCGCGGCTGCTCCCCCTCCGGGCGAGAAGCGCAGCCGGGCCGCGGAGAAGCCGAAGCAGCGCAGGCGCGCTCCGGCCCGGCGAGGAGGCTGCTGGGGGCTGTAGTTTGAGCCGCTTAAAGCGGTGGGGGGGGGAGACTGCTGCTCCCAGGCAGGCAGGCAGGCAGGGCGGGGGTGCGGCTCGGGCTCTTCCCCGCGCGAGGAAAGCGGGGGCGCGGAGGGTCCCGGCGGGGTCCGAGGGGCGCCGGCAGGATGAACGTGGTGCTGGCGGTGAAGCAGTACGTCTCCCGCATGATCGGCGACAGCGGGGCCGGCATGAAGGTGCTGCTGATGGACAGGGAGACGGTGAGCCCCGGGGGAGGGGAGGGGGGTGTCAGCGCAGCGGGGGGGGCGTTTCGTAGCCCCCCCAAAGCCTCCCCGCCGGCTCGAGCTCTTCCCTGCCTCGCTTGTGCTAGACCAGCATCGTGAGCATGGTGTACACGCAGTCGGAGATTCTGCAGAAGGAGGTCTACCTCTTCGAGCGCATCGACTCGGCCAGCCGGGAGAGCACGAAGCACCTGAAAGCCATCTGCTTCCTCCGGCCCACCAAGGTGAGCCTGCTCCCCGCTCCGGAGGGCCTGTCGCTGGGGGGGGGGGCTTCTGCCCTCCCCCCCCCGCCCTGTGCCTCTGGCATCTGCCATTCGACGTGACTCTGCTCCCCAAAGTGCAGCCGGGGGGGGTCTCCTCCTCCTGCCAGGGTGCCAGAGCAGCGTCCATCAGTGGTGCTGTCAGATGCTTTGCACGCCCCGAAGGGGTATGTGGTCCTCTGGGTAGATTTATTTTTTTCCTGAATAAAAGCAATTATACTTTCTACTACTTAACGGGTTTGCTGCTAGTTGGCTGATCTTTCCACTTTTTTTTCTTTTTTTGGGATTTGTTTCCCACCCTAGGAAAATGTTGGGTATCTTATCCAGGAGTTGCGGAGACCCAAATACAGCTCCTATTTTATTTGTGAGTACACCAGCATATTCTCTCGTGTATAACTTATGGCAGGACTGGGGGGGGGGTTTGTGTACGTGTGTCCCTGCGGCTGCTTCTCCCGGAGACAGTTA